AGTGACAGTCCTGTACGAGTACAGGTGCAAGCATTATTAATGCAGGTCGAGCCAGTTGGGCACTATTAAATGTCAACATCCGTCGGTGGTGGTATAGAAAAGGGATGACATTAGACGGACTTACAATGGCACCGCATGTTCCACAGTTATTGTTGGTACTCAGGGAAGTACAGACTCCACTACAACAGCTTTGGCCTGATGCACACTGTGGCAAAAGAAACGGTCATTCAAACCACACTAATGGTAACAGGAAGCCTAACTAGTAGGTTGACTCACACATATCCCGTTACAATAGAGAGATCCAGTACTATTGCACACGCAAGCCCCTCCAACGCAAGTTGTAGTAGATGGACACTGGCACGTATCATAAGGTCAGTGATTCACTTAAAGCTGAATGTCAAATCTTGTAGGCTAACGTACACACTGGCCATTACAGGGCGGCTGTTTAGTAGCAATACAGATGCAAGCACCGTTATTACATATCGATCCAGACGGACACTATGGCATGACAACAGAGGATCAGTCCGTCGGTTGAATGATTCATGAATAGGAAAGAGGTGATTTTACAATATTACCGCATGACCCACAGTTCTGGCTGTCGTTGGTAAGTGACTGCAAGTTCCCTTACAACATGTAAAACCGGATGAACACTATAGAGATATCAGCTTCATAACATGTAAGCAAATGGAAGATAACTTACGCCAGGGGAACATGATTGAGCCAGTACGATTGCTATAATAGCAAATTAGTCAGTTTCAAGAACTTCGTAGGGTAGAATCTATGTAAGTTGACGACTCACCACAGATTGAGATAATGAGGAGGAATAATCTAGCCATCCTGAATGTGGTCGTGTGCCAACGAGTACTGTTGGATATCAATGAGTTATTAGAAATGCTTCATAGAGAAAGCCATCGTTTTCCTTTTATGGCTTCGAACGTTAGATATCTGTTGATGCATTACCCCTCCAAGTTTTCGGGATTGGGTGGATATCGCATTTTAAATCCGCCAAGCTTCCTGAGCCCAAGGACACTCGTGACCTATTAGAGGACAGGAGCCACCATACCACCACTCCCCTCTGCCTCGTTATCATTCTTTTGAGCTTAACCAGTCAATTAAATGCAGCTTAGCATAATACCTAGACTGTTTTATGTGTCTGCGTTAGCTTTGGAACCAATATTCATCATAATGAAAAACTATTTTCGCAGATTGGAATGCAGATTGCGGAGCCCATCATTGCCACAACCAGGATTACGCTCCCCATGATTCCACTCAAATTTTACTCTGGAGTTCCCACCCACTGCTGGATGGTATGGAGAGCTGCTGATCATCACAAAAAGTTTTGAAGAGGGTGGCATAGAAAAATCTGTACTTCCAGAGTGGGTCTGCCAAACGCTTGATATGGAATATAGAATTCCCAAACACTGACATAAGGTGGCCAGAGACACATACGAGCTTCTCAGCGCCTAGACGCAGTTGGTATGTTGCCCCTTCGCTAAGGCCACAAGTGGTGGACACCAGATTGTCCATCCCTCGGTGAAAAAATGGGGATTAAGGCAAATCACACATGCAAGGGAATTGCTGGAGTACGTCTAGGGCATAGATCGGGAGGTCGATCTAACTTCTTTGATAACTATGTATTATTGTTTCTTTCATATTCATGTCGTGGAAGGTACAATTAGAACTATGGCATCAGACAGAGACATTTGAACTGTGAAAGAAAACGCCTTGAGAAGTGTATGTGCAACAGTCCCCTAAGGAGAAGTTTGCAGACTTTCTTAAACTAGGTAGCATATGTATTTGATGATATATTGCGGGGATGAAAGCAATGAGTGTTCTTGATTTTCCTATTACTATCTGTTTTTGAACTCTGAATGAGCCTAGGAGTAGGCCCCTGTATATAAATCCACGGTTCAGGTTTTGGCAACTCTTTAGGCGGCCAATGCGAAGATGACGTAGGATAGGAAGAGCTGGCAGCTGATGTACGATGTATGGTAGTTATTTCTGCTACCGGCTGTGTTCATTACAACCGTTATAGCACACAGGTCGTATAGCAGCTTCCTCAAACACCATAGTTATTTCACTTCGAGCGATCCACCACAGCACTCATCCCGCTACTGAATACCTCTCAGCAAACCATCCACAACTGTACCAACGCTGCTAAGGATTGAATTGACGGCGGAGTCGGCAGCAACTGCATTTGCAGCGCTGGGACCAAGGTCTGCACAATTCTAGACATAGGCCTCAATATAATGCTGTCTTTTAGCTATTTTAGGCATAGAACTTACGGAGGTACCATCGTTGAAGTTAAATGTGCAGCAGACCTTATCCGTAAAGGCCGAATCGAAATTAGGACAAGTGCCTGATTCAGTCAAGAGATCACACCACCAAGTTGGACGTGGTTTGTCTGGGGGACAGCAGAAGCAGATTTTCGCAAGCTGGGGTTCGCCACCAGGAGGATTTGTGCCACTTTCATGGAGGTGGCCACCGTTATTAGGCTTCCCAGGCTCTCCGCGTGGGTTTTCATGGGAGACAGGATGATTGGCCTCACTCCGAGGGGCAGCAGCGGTGCCTGCAATGAAACATAAGAGGGATACAAGAGTAGCTGATCGCATGTCCAGATAGAACATGCTTGAGAGTTGTAGGTTATGAGAGGAAACGGCGCGCTTTGTTCAATTTACTACAGATAAGTAAGATGATAGTAACCCGCTGCGCGCCTCTAATGATTCATAACTGGAAGGCAAGAGTTGGCATGGGGAGCAAAGGATTTTATTTCTAATTCTCCTACAGTGAAACATGGTCTCCAAATGCGGATACTCTTCATAACTTCTCGATGAAAGTATAGTGAGGGCAAGGATTACCACTCTGGATAATGTTCACTAAAACCACTAGTCTTCATTACTGGCGCAGTGGTCATATTCGTATATGTGTCTCTATCCGCTTCGTTCAAATACGGAATGTTGTCTTTGCATATCTTGGGTGAGGTACATAACAATCTTGACTACTTTAATAGGTAATAGGTGAATGCTTCATGGTTCCATCTCTTCAGCATTCCTATATCTGGGGCTATTTGAAACTTATAGTAGGATACCTTCAAAGGTAGCTGATCTCAGTCTGTCTATATACATTATACTAAAGGAATATAAGGGCTTCAAAGTAAGAACCTGTTTAGGCTGTAGACGAAATTCAGTTTGTTGTATAGTTTTATCCATTTTGAGTATCTTCAAGAATTAGCGGCAGCAGATCCAGTAAACTACCTTCATCTCTGCAAGGTCTCGAAAGTTCTCGTGAATTAACAATTAGTCCCTTCTTCGCGAACCAAGGTATTAGACACACCTCTGAATATACCTGGCCAGTGTTGTGAACAAGGATCTAATCCACACAAAGTATTGCCCAGCCGCAGCCTGTTGGAGCTGGACAATAGCAAACGCAGCAAACTCCTGGCCTTCTCAATGGCAGTGTCTGATTTATGGAAGTGTACGCAGCTTTTCAAATGAAGGCATTATGAGAACACAGAACATTGAAATAGCCTGCAGCGCTTTGTACATGGTACCACCCTCATCATTGGCTCCACGGGTGTACGCGTTAAATAGAGCTACCTGTGTGATCTACTACAGTTGTATACGAATCAGTCTCCAATCAACAATATTTCGAGCAAGACTATATAAGAAGGCCCAAATTCAGCACCAGTGTTTGGATTGCTCCGCATTGCTTCAGATTGTGGCCCAAACCAGCTGATACTCATCTAGTAACCCCAGCAAATGCGGCCTGGCTCGCACTCGACACTACCTGCAGGAATACCACCATGCTTGGGCTGCATCAATTAAGAACAGCGAACCTATCTATCATGTTCCCATGAACCTTTTCTCTTTCTGATTCCTACCTCTTCCACCTTGTCAATATTGATAAAAAGGATCTTAAAAAGGAATACTCTCATCACCCTGTGCCACCTTCTCTTCCTGCTCTTTGATCCAGCAGCACTCATTGGGGAGCCGCAACCGGCAAAGCCTACGTTCTGGCATCCAAAGGCTTGCTGCGGCGGGTGGACCCTACGCGATCTGGATCTCTGCGCGGCGCGGAAGGCGGCAGCCGAAAGTTGGGGACCCATCCAGTGTACAAGGCTTACCCAAACTTCTCGAGCGAAATGAAGGCCAACCAGAGCTCTCCTTTAACCCATCGCACTGACCATTACTATCGTGAGGGTACACAATACTAAGAAAGTAATATTTTGAACAAGGTTCCCACAAGCCTCGAAATTATGAACGTGGGCCAAGATTCCAGCCCAAGGTCCAGAATTAAATCCCAATTATGGTCTGTCGTCAATGTTATAAAATTATTGGGATGTTACATTGCTGGCGGGAAATCGATAGCAAGCATCCAGCGTTTCACGTGAGGCGAAAATTACAACTTTCGACCCTTAGATGCAAAGGCACATCTCATCGATTCAGCACAATACTCACCAATACGAGCAGAAGCGAGCATTTTGATTGTGTTGAAAGATTTTGAATGCTTACTGGAAGTCAGCCACTACATAGACTTGACCTTGCAAGAGAACACACTTCTGCATGTTATGCTTCACAGTACTTGCCGTAATGGATTTTCGTCAGGAGAGCAAGCCATTTATACAGATCGAGCCAGAGAAGGCGTTGTGCTCACTTGAGGTTGTTGTACGGGAAATTTTCATCCTAGAATTGAAGATGATCCTTGTATTAAACTAAAACTACTACTAATTAATGATTTTCCATGGGTTTCCCTGGAGACAGGAATGAATTCAGCCGAAAAAGTGCCATAGGTGCTCTCCCATTAGCATGAATCACTTCAACCTCCAGACCCATTCGACTCTTGAATGATAATTGGGATCCATGTTCCACATAAGTTGCACATCGCGGCGTCTTCCCGCAAGGTTATGACACCATTGAACTCGAACGGTATTCCCTAAAATAGCTGAACACGCCAGCCATCAGCCTGCTGTACAAAGCCCAACATATCAGATAAAGCTTACTTTAGAGATTGATGTTGAGCAAGGATGGCACCAAGTTCAGGACCTGTTGAACGAGACCCTGAGTAGCTGTAACAGCCCCGCTCGGGTCAGAGCAGCCCTCCTAGCATGATAATTAGCACTCAGCGTAACGGTTAGTGGATATTGATTGGAAACTCACCAAGACACCACGGCTAACAGGGCAGGTGAATTTGACATCACCAGGCGCACAGTTCTGGATGGCCGAATTATAGGCAACGCAAGTAGGGGTACCGCCGCCAATTCCGGTTCCGGTGACGGTGCCAAGCAACCCTTGAGCTGCGACAAAATTACCACTGCAACAGAGAGTAATTGCACTCTCCGTGCCAAAGGGCAGAGATACAACGCCGGAACCACCAAAGGGATCTGGTTGAGGTGCAGCCAAGCCAGCGGCAGCGAAGCTGAGGACGGTGGCAATAGTGCAGGAACGCATCGTGATGATATTAAATTTGGCAGAAGGTTCTGGCTTGATGAAGTTGTTCGCTGTTCGTCTTTGTGTTGCGTTTGAATGGATGGAGATGTTTGATTGATGAGTAGGAAACAGAGCTATGAAAGGACATTAGAGGTTTATATATCTTTTAGCTGCCCCTACGGCTTGTCAGTAAAGGTTCAGTGAACGCATAGGGAGGCCATGAATGAATAGCTACCTGTATGAGGGCAATCCCTTTGCTACGGTCACCTCCAGTAATGACCCTGCGATTTCATACAGTAACTGTTAGGTCTTCCTGTGTAAGGTCTCCTGTGTTTACTACTGTTTCAGTCTTAACATAGTAATATCCACCTCCAAGTATTGGACGAGGTGTCCCCATATCGAAGCTGTACCAGATGGTGACAATTAGCCGAAGAGAAAAAGTACTGGATTGCTTGGGTCATCTGGAGATATGAGCTGTATACGCATTGCTCTGTAGATGCTCCAACTTCATCAGGGTCCAAGGCCATCTCTAGGCATGATCATGGTCCCTGGATCCATTTCAGAAATATTACCGTCATTGTCAGCATATTTGCTCGGATCATCTTCAAAAATGGGGATGGGAAGTATCGTTTACTGAATGGCCAAGGACAACAACTATTAGAAGCTCCATATGGAGATCACAGGGCTGCCAGTATGTGAAACTGCTTCAATTGCACCTCTGGGAGAAAAGATGACAGTCTCAAAGGTAAATATTATTCTCAGGTTTAAGGATATTTTGTTGGATCTCCTCAAGGCGTCTGGGGATATGCTGACCTACAAACGCAGGCAACTATATGAACATATTGTTGGCAGACGGTTCATACAGCTGCAAACAAAGACTGTATTTAATGATATCATACTGTAAATTCAACATCACCAATCCATAACCAGGTCAGAAATGCATCGAAAAGTAAACTACATTCGCCAGGGCGGCGAATAGTTTAGAATGTGCCCAGGCGTACAGCTACGTCCTTTCCAAGTACAAACTGCTCCAAGTTACTTCTGCATTGCTTGTTATTCTTGGAATGAAGACATGTTCATACTATGAATCAAGGTTTTCGTGTCAAATAACGTGGATCGGAGCTACCCAGCCTCTATAGTCCGCAATCGGAAATATAAGTGCAACCCACCCGAAGTGAAAGTAATGGTTATGCAACAGGAAATGTAGAGAATTCACGCGGACGTGGTGTATCTTCTTGGAGCTATGGCCACTAGAAGGTATGCTGTCCCTTGAGCCACTAGCTCTCTTGATACTTCCCTTGCTTATGATTTGTTCTCCCTTCCCGAAAGCCGTTAAGGTCATGTTGAAGTATGCTTGTAGCGCTATACTCTGGAAAGCCCCATTCTCAACTTGGTGACGGATGGCCTCTGCTAAGACCTGAGATAAGACAGTTTCAGCCTAAGCCCTTAAAAGCTACGAGTCCTACCTTGAAACAAAGCCAATCTAGCCCACATACGTGTCTCCGTTCATGTCTCAGACTATCCGGGTCGTAGTCGAAGCCTGCAATCCGGATAATGGCTGCTCTGATGATATGCTCCACTTTTTCAGTGGTCTCTTGCACCACTGGTATAGCAACATACCGATACCTACATTCTCTGACCTAATGCTCCGAGACAGCTCAGTGGCTATGGAACTGCTTTCCTCATGCCAGGAGACTGTATAGATCATTGATAAGGCTCTGAGTGGATCCCCGTGCGTGAGATCGACGGCTTTCGAGGCCAAATGCGGAAAATTCACCAGCAACAGACTTGGCGGCTGCAGGGAAATACAGGCGCACCCGCCATCAAAGTTTTTTAATTTTGCCTTGAAATCAGCAGCCGCCCAATCTTAAGCGATATCGCTATTTAAGGGCGTATATGTCCCTCTGAAATCCAACTTTCTTCTCCTTTCTTCCTCAGTTTGACTTCTTTGCTCGCCTCGGCCTAGCTTGCTGCCAATCGGTCATTCTCCTTCTCCAAATCCTACCCACAGATCCACAACGAAGTATACATGCACTAGAGCAAGGTTACAGGTATACTTCATTGTGACTTAGTGGCTTGGATGCTGGGGATGGAGAAGGATTGGCAAAAGTGGGCTTTTTTACAGGCAGTAAGGCAGTCAAGCTCCTGATGTTGGAGCTGACTGGTTCGGTCAAGTTGAAGTCTTTCGAAGAAAATAACTTCCTAGCAATGCTATTATCAAGTTTATCTGTGATGCATATGGTAAATCAGTCCATGGTCAAGTCTCTCTCTCATTGTATTTATTAGCCACAGGCTGCTATATGTTCCAAGACTATGCACTTATTTCAAAACATAATCTGATCCTTCATGACCATTAAGTTGTTCACAGACGTTGAACTACAGAGTATAAATCTTACAGAGCTCTCAGTTCACCCTTTATCTGAGAGGCTTGCTATAATAGGGGATGAATACATTCATTCTTATTATGCAAACATAATCGTTGGACGGCTCTGAACACCTGTACCAACCTCTTAACGGAAGTACTTGTCAGAGTATGATAATCGACCGGAAAGCAGCACGAATAGCCGAAGACGCAAGAAGATATAAGTCAGACATACCAAACAGTTGTCGTCCGATAACAATTTCTATGCCAGAGGAACAGTGCCTTCATCAACCTTTATGGTTTCATTAGATTATTTTAAGCTGAAGTTGATCTCAGATTTTAGTTGGTTTGATCGCCTGATAGAATCATTTACAGGTAGTCTAGAATATGTTCTTATATTCAGACTTCAGTGGATGTTGCGTTGTTCCGTTTGTGGAGTCGAGGTGTTAGTTAAGCTTCATATATGTAAATATATAAAAAAAATATAATCAGCATTCGCCAATTCTCATTACGACCGCTATGGATCACCAGTGATCAAATCACCGTGATAAGACTAGCTAAGGAGAGGTTTTATTACGATTCAAATAGGCAAAAGGACAGTATCGAATCCCTGCATGCGTTGATGTTTAAGCAATCACATATCGTGACTGTTAAGCTCAAATTCGTTACTCTTCAGAAAGCTTCATGCTTGTTGTTTATGATGCAAGAGCATAGCATTGCTTTTGTTGCCCTGGTCATATGGGGAGGCCACTACTCTTGTTCCTGATCCTACCTGTCGTCCAATTGTTTCAAGACCTAATGGTCGAATACAACGTCTGCGACACAATTTGATGCGATATGGCTTACTTAGGACTCAAGAGAGATTCATCCCGGAAAGATTTCTCTATTCGGGTCTTGTAGGCTTCGGAGTCGACAGTATGGTCTTTGTAAGAGATTCAGGGCCAGAATATTTTGATGATCTGTATTGTGCGAGTTCAACTGTTTCTCCTGGGTCTCATAGCTGATTCATTCCAGCATTAAATGAGAATGCTGAATCGCCTTGCCCAACGGTATTGTGAGTCTTTCCTGTTTTTGGTTGGGTTTTTCTATAATGGACTGATGATATAATCCAGGGAGCGTTGAGACATTTGAATGTCGGCGGGTAGTACGCTTATTGATCCAAAGATTGCCATAAAGTCTCAAGTTCAATGATTGACTCGAAAACCAATGATCTTGAGAATTGTGTTCAACGGACGTCGTTCAGATAACATAACTGGATACATGAGATCAAGGGATTCGGCTGCCTAACTAGCGTGACCTAAATTAACGACATGCACCTTCCAACACTCTCCATGTACTTTTTTTGAGAAGGTTATTGACAGTATGCATACATTTCATGTTTGAGATTCTGTAGTAGTTGGTCGTAGTAGTGGGTCTGTCTGATGCAAAGACATCATTAAAGCACGTACACACACACACATATTTATATATATATACTCTAACAGCGGGAACTTACGGGAGCGACAAGCCGTAGAATTACATGCAAGATGAGGATACTGAAGCAAGTTGAGTATTCATTATATATATGCCGCTAGGAGTACCTGCATGAATTTGACATGGATAGCTAATTATGACTATGATATATGTATAGCCCTGCAGATAATATTCCTTGCTACCTTATGTATATTCCCAGACAGGTACATACTCAGAAACCGTTAATCTGTAAATTTGAATAAAATATGCTGTAAAATATGGCTAACAATATGGCTAACAATACAGTGCGTGGAGGACCTGGTTGGGCAGACCGCTACATGGAGGTTGTCGTTCGTATCAATTGCTCGAAAAGAAGGTTTGAAAGCATATCCGCTACTGTATCTCTTAACCTAGTAAGGGAGATCCGTAAGAAAATTAGATAGACAAAGAAAATCAGGAAACTACATATTTCTTCTTTAGAGGTCATTGCTGGAAACGAATAATTTGAGACTAAAGATCTCGCACATTGGATAGGGAATGCTACCGCAGCTAATCCTTCCCTGATGCCTCCGTTGATTTCTCACTCGTGTTACATCATATACTTGGGATAGTGACAGCAACATAACGATGAGCTCCTGTACTGGTGGATAGTATACTACTTTCACCACTCCGAAAATGTTTAGAGGTATCTCTTATCACGTCATTTTTTTCAAAGAATTTTAGCAGATTAGGACACTATCTCACCTAAGCCATTCCTCATTCAGAACAAGGTCCTGTCTCATTTCATGCTTCACTCAGACAAAGATGGGAACCTATCGGAGTATTCCTTTTTACCCTCTTCACTAGAACCTCCGGCCGGACAGCTTAGGTTATGCATAATTCGTACCTCCGAATACCTGGAAGATGCATGTGTTTATAAGGACTAATGTACGCAAACGACTTTTGTCGTCTTCAGGAGTTAAAGGTGCGGCAGTCACACTTTCCTGCGCTGGTCTCCAAACACCAATGATTACATTTAAGTTCGAACGTGAGATGACCATAGCTGTAGGTATTGAAAAAGGTGGCCTACTACCCTGCACGGTAGAGGAGGTTACATTGCATAGCGATAACTCGAGGTGACCATAGCGAAAGGACCTGTGTCATTTTATCTTACAGTAATGATTCACCCTCACCACTTAGTTAACGGATGGAACGCTAAAACAGGATGGATCATTTTTGCCTAGATTTTGCTTTCTGTCATAGATTATGTGACATAGAGTAGGTTAGACAAACTCTGAGCTTTCTATTCATGATACAGATTCTTCTGTGCTAGGCCTAAGCCATTAGTAGTTTTATGCCGGCTATACACTTAGTATGTGCCTGCATGCAGATGACAGTAGGTGGATTAAGGGCATTCTGAAGTATTACAACTATTAATGTCCTTAGGCACAGCCGGGGTGAATATGCCGCTCTTAGCATTATTCTCTTCTCGAATAGAGACAATGCTGCCTTTAGTAGATGGGCACAGCTGCCATATAAGTATACGTAAGGTACCCCATACCATATGTATGGCCCAAGGACTCTGGGGACGAGGCCACTAAGCGGTACACACGCTAGGGGATTCTGAATAATAGCCAGTAGCGTCACATACTCCGCAGCTAAGGTTTCTATTGAAGTCCCCATGGATGGTAACTTTGTCAATGCTAAAGGCGGCTTCGACCAGAACACCTTGCCTGCTATACCCACGAACCTATCAGATATGCAGGCTTCTATAACTCCACCTGCATGGACGAAACTTCGAGCGTCTAGGAGGCCATGTCATGAATGTTGGTCAGACGCCTCTACCAGCCTGGCAAATGTTGTAGTACATCATACTTCACGGAGCTGATATACCCGTAGCTAAAGCGCACCCAACAGTGATAGGATATGCATCCTGGATAATTTGGGCTCAATACAAAATCGAATCCAGCGATCCGTTTGGGGGCGAACAGCAACCACAACTAAAATCCTCCTTTAGGCTATAATACAGTACCACAACCTTTCCAAATGGTGTTAGGTGGTATTGTTCAATATTGCAGCTTGGTTTTATCTGTGGCTAACTCTTGAGCACGGTCGACGTGTTCCTTCGGTCTTGATGTCTCATTGCTCCGGCCAGTTCAGCGCGCATGGATTCCCAGGCCACCTCCTGTCCGGTGCTAAGGGCAGCAGTAGGCAAGGGGAAGACACCGAAGAACAATCAAAATTTTTTAATAAATATGGTCCTTGTCATGTCCCAGTCCAGTGAGGGTATGTACCAGACTACCCGCTTAGGTCTTGATGGCTCTGCACACGTCCAGGAATGTAAGGAGAGTACGCAAAGGCCTACGCGTGGGTGGAGCTACTGCACTTGAACTGGTTTTTTGTGCCTTAGCTAAACATCTTTCCTGCCCAAGGCGTACACAATCTCGGTATGAACGGAACTATATGAAGATTTTAGTGGCCGTTTCCATAGGGGCACTATTTGCCAAGGTATATGTGAACGGAGCGCATAAAAGATTTTCTATGCCCCTCTTCGGTCCTTCAAATATATCAGTCAACCGCGCCTCAAGTTGTCAAGGAAGAGAAATATCTGCCGGCTCCAGAGACGATCAACCACCCTTCAAAATGGATCACGCCCAAAAACACGACGAGCCACATTTGAGGACAACAGCGAGCATTATAAAGGAAGTGGGACTCTCTCATACCACCCGATTCCCCCCACGTCCAGGCTATGGAATTTCGGGAGTCCCTACTGTTCTACGAGCCAATTACTTTGAGTTGACGCTGGATCCTGACCTCCGCCTGTATCGGTACAACGTCGAAATTTGTCCACCAGCGAATGGTATGGCAAGCAGAGCTCGGCTGGCCCCAATACCGAAGCGTGTCATGCTCTCCCTGTTACGGACACACTTTTACCAGGAACAATCCAATATTGCGACTGATGGCCACCAAACCTTTATATCGAGGCGTCGTCTTGATATTCCCGATCAGCCCCTACGTGTCTGTTCCGATACAAACGATACCTACCACCTCCGGGTTCGATATACCGGCACCCTCGCATCAGACGAACTTGTGGCTCAATCAACATCGGGCAACAGAGAGGAGAGGATGGTTTGTCAAACACTACCTGCCAAAGACGAATTCATTCAAGCGCTTAACATCATCGTCGGCCACTATCCCCGGTACGCCTCTTCGCAGTTTGTTTCAGTGGGCTCCAACAGGCACTTCGACATAAACGACAGGCCAATCAGCCTGGGAGCCGGCCTGAACGTCTTGAGGGGCTTATTTGTGTCGGTTAAAGTCATCGATAATCGGTTATTGGTAAACATCCAACCAAAGTATGCTGCATACTACGAGGCGCAGCGCCTCGACCGGCTAATAGCGGCATTTTTGCGCGACAAGGGCCCCGATATGGGCCAGCTAGCAGTGTACCTTCGAGGCCTGCGCGTTCAACTTCTTCATCTCAAATCGAAGATGAGGGGCCGGAGATCTCTGCCACGGATCAAGACAATTTTCGGGCTGGCAATGCCCGGGGACGGGAGGAACTTGGCCTATCCTCCCATCGTGCGCCGTCCTGGTGGCGGAGCTCAAGAGGTCCTGTTCTTTCGACAGAATAACTCGACCTCACAACCCCGGATGAGAAGTCCAACGCAAAGGAAAAGCCCGATATCGGAAGGCTATATGACAGTGTCAGCGTATTTTCAGGAAGGTAAGTGTAGCCGTAACGACCGAAGCTCACCGAACTCAGCTGATCGCTTGAGACGTCACGATAGCACATGGGGTTATCCTCCACGATCCGTACCTCCCTGTCGTCAACACCGGGAGCCAGGCCAGTCCATCATATCTCCCTCCAGAGGTGTGTTGGGTTGTGCCTGACCAGCTGTCGCGAACTCCACTCAGTCCTTTGCATACTCGTCAATTGCTTCGGTTGATCGAGGGTAATAGCGGCAAGGATCGAACCTTGAGAGAAAACAAGAGCTGGGACAGTCGGCATTGGCAACAAGGGCTGACAAGGAAGATCGAACGACTATTAGGGCCGCCTGATGGTGTGGCATGCTTGGTAAGTCTTGGTTATAGTATCTTCTGGTATGTTACAGGCTGCCGTAATGCTGACAAGTATCACGCATCTTCGATTTACCAGCGTTCTTTCGGATGCTCCGTGAATGAAACCATGATCACTGTACCTGCCCGCACACTCTCCGCGCCGGCGGTGCATTATGGTCATGGAAAGAAGATCCTGACTCAGGCAGCCACATGGAATCTGCAAGGGGTCCAATTCTTGACACCAGCACGCGTCAGATGCTGGACTGTCATGTCGATCTTGAACCATAAGCCAAGGGCAAAATATGATCCACGGTTGGTAGAACGCGCCCTGGCTGGATTTCGCGACAAATTAATCGCCCTTGGCATTGCAGACTGCCCACCCCACGAACCCGGCGTCGAAGTTGACATGTCAGCTTGGGGGACCTACCAGGAAGGCCCTTGTGGTCCGCGGGAACAAATGCACAGATTTCTCCGTTCTTGGGGTGGTCAGGCCCGGCAAAATGAACCCAAGTCCTTTTTCATGCTAGTCTCTCTTCCAGAGCCAGACGAGACTCTTTACAGTCTGATCAAGTACCTTTGTGATGTCCAGTACGGTATTCCTAATATTTGTGTTGTGGGGGAGAAGCTCATCCGCGCAAACGATCAGTTTCTCGCCAACCTCGCCCTCAAAGTCAACCTAAAACTGGGGGGCTGCAACCACATCCCCAAGAGCCTTGGCACAAACCTCGAGCGAACGATGGTGATTGGGATTGATGTGTCACATCCAACGCAAGAGCCTAGCCCCTCCATGCGACATTCAGCGCCAAGCGTGGCGGCCATGGTGGCCTCTGTCGATGGCGGATCCCTGTCCCAGTGGCCAGCTGCGGTGGCTGTGCAGGAGTCAAGGCAAGAGATTGTGACTGGTATAGACCGGCTACTGAGGTCGCAGCTACGTCTGTGGCAGGAACACAACAATGGCACTCTGCCAGAGAACATCCTGATCTACCGCGACGGCGTGTCGAACTCGCAATACAAAGCCGTCCTCGACATCGAATATACCCTTCTCCGCAAAGCATGCGATGAAATATACTGTCCTGGGATAGAGGCGAATTCCCACCATCCTCATGGCTGCAGACCCGGTCGAAAACCGCACATATCGATCGTGATAGTGGGAAAGCGCCATCATACGAGGTTCTACCTAGATCAGGCAGGTCGGGGGAGACAGAATCCCCGCAATGGCACCGTTATCGATCGTGGAGTGGTCGACGATGGACTATGGGACTTTTACCTCCAGTCGCATACAGCGGTGCGCGGTACTGCCCGGCCTTGCCACTATGTAGTCATTTACGATGAAATCTTTCGACGCGCTCCAGACGGAGATGACGGTTTGTCTCTTGTGGCGGATGATCTGCAGACGTTAACGCACGGGCTGTGCTACGGATATGGTCGGGCAACCAGGGTGCCTAGTGTGGTTCCGCCAGTGGTCTATGCAGATCTGGTTTGTTCCCGTGTGCAATGCTATCTCAACTACCTTCGAGACCAGGGGCAAGAGGCACCTGATCGGGTTGACCTCCATCCTGCTGTTCGAGATACCATGTTCTATATTTGAGGTTTCCGTGTGGCGGGGCTGTTATTCTCAAATGAGCTTGGGACCTTAGGTACTTTTGCATAATATCGGAATCAGGAAACAGGCATTTCCCCAGGGCAGGGAGATGGGAAGTCACTTCTATACGTGGTATATATAAGTGAAAGGTTGCAGGAAGGAACTAGCCGTGCTGTATCCCTAATCTACTCCACCTATCAAGCATGTCAGTCTGGAATTAATCAAGCTTTAAAAATAACGTGGAATAATAACTAAGCAGGGGGTTCATGATTACTGCTTCGATGCAACCACATGCTTCCGCACAATTTCCACGCGCTCAAGGGCAACGCTCCTTTTTTTTCCTGCGTGCACCTTCAAACCATCATCATTTTGCTCAAATATACTCAGTCTATGTGTAAATCGCTACCTTTATTTAGAAATTAGCACTGTCACGTATCTTTACCGCGAAGAAATCAACTAAGTAGTTAGCCGCCCCTGAAAGACACAGCGCCTCGGAGAGCACTTGCAGAGGTATCTTTAGAACATCCGCATGGGAACAGCAAGGCAACCAATGGGCAAACCAGGACTGGCAGGCAATGATTAAAGGTCCGAATCGACAATACTGCACTTTTTTGCGCGAATGAGAGTCAAGACTGACCTTTCCAATGTCCATAGAGCACGAATATCTGGCTCGCACGGTCGTACTGCGTAACTTGGCTGCGTGGCGGCGAACTGTCGTCTAGTCATTCCCTATCCCCTACCCCAAGCCCCACGACGCCGGCGAATAGATCTACGAAAATATCTCTGCCTGCGACGTCTATTTCCACCGATGGTGGTTTTTAAACGCCATATTTGCGTGTAACGGATTCTCTTCGGGGCTATACCCGTCGTTGATTTGCGAGCTTGAGGATCTGGACTTGGTAGGCACTTAGGGCCTCTTTCTATCATATGACCGGAAAAACGACCCGACCACTTGTCATCGGCCGAGAGTCCTATCAGCGAAAGTCCTTTGGACGGCCGCCGGCTGGCACAAAGGCCAATCACCGCCCACGAAACACAACCGGATGTCCAATGTACTTTTGTCGGAAGTGGGGTCAGCCCTCACATATTTGCCATCCCCGAGGCAGAGGAAACCGGCACATTGCTTCCAATAGGGTGCTGTGCAACTTGTCAGAATCTGTTAGTTTTATGTTTCAAAGGGTTGCGTGTGCGCAAAGTGTTTCTCGTGCATAAGACACCTCTCTCTAGCCAACATACTGGCAGGACAGAACCACACATCTGGAGATAGGGGCTGTCGCAAGGACGGTACATTGCGAAGTAAAGCTTTGTTAAAAGATGTCCATGAACATCTGCTGGCTGGTAGTGATGGCCAGATAGTAGAAGTAGGTATAGCGAGTGCCCAGAGCCCTGATGGGCAATATCTAGAGGGTTAACGAACTTTCGGGATCTGAGGGCACAACTTGTGCACAGCCTATTTCTTCATCATTGGCCAGGGCACGTGGTTCCCTCTGAACACTCCTGCAATTGACTGGCAGTAAGCCGGCGCCCAATGCAGAGCGATTCAACCGGCTTCATCAGTGTCCTTGAGAGAAATGTGGTCAAACAATCAAATTCAGTTCTGTAATTTAAGCCAGGGGCGAGTCATCTTGCTTGGATATACCCTATCCCATCTGTTTGAGCGGTTGACATGACTCAAATCGCTTGTAAGGCTTCGCTTTGATGGGGTCATCTCCCACTGTTCTTCATAGTAATTGCTAATGTTAGTGGCCTAGTGCTAGTTTTATTCAAAGCAACGTTTGAATCAGAAGTATATCATGTAAAGCAATAATCAGGGATTATGCTTAGCACTAAAGGCGTTGACCTTGCGTATACTGAGCTGGTTTACTTCGATGGAATATGATACCAATTGGAATATGCTACAATTAGAGCACGTGTTTTTGCCAGTAGCCCAATGATCGTTTTTAAGTAGGTTGCAGTTACCTGCAATGCCGTGTATCCAGGCGTTTCCGCATTGAGGATCAATCCCTTGCAATTTGAATGCTCCCGCAAGACCCGTTTGATATGCCGCACCAAAAAGCCAGCAACCTGAGCTGGATAGAGATACCTCCTCTTAAAGAGCATCTCATAGTGCACGCTCTATCCCAGATGTGGCTTCAGTATCCGGTATGGCAGGTTATAATATACCCGAATGTTTAATTGCATTGGACTGTATTAGCGTGTCGCTCTATGGCCTGCATCTGTCGTGACGAACTGTCTTTACCAAGTCATATATTTTCGATCAGTTATAACTGCAGCAAGATCAGCAGAGTTCCCAGCCTGCAGCCCTTGGGAGATTATTAATCGACTGACGGTTTACCATTTATGATCTGAGTGTTGTTCTAGTAGATGTTCAGGATATGCCTCGGAGGCCAACGGTAGAAGATCTTCCATGAATTCAAGCCTCAGATCAGGGAAAAAGTTCTGGCTGGCAAGAATCAGTGGGACTGCCGCATGTGACGCGTTTTGCCAACTCCAGTCAGGAAAGCCGGTTTGTTGGTAGGGCCTGTAACCCAGAAGCGGTGGTTGAGGGACTCCTGTGAACAGGTGGCTGTTGGTGCCAATTGTGGATAGGTCCTGGGGAAAAGGATGTGGTGGCACAGTGTTGTAGAGGGCATCGCATCCGTAGCCCATTGGGAGGCTTGGCACCTCATTAGGGTTGACTGATGGTTGTGGGTTGGAAGCCATAGTGTTTATCCCAAGATTAACATCTGGCTCTGGGGGCCCATCATTAGAAATAATGGGTGGAGGGCTGCGCTGTGGTGGCTCAATTTGTCTTTGATGAAGGCAGTCCCGCTGGTGTCTGATCAGAACAGATCTGCGAGTGAACCTATGTATGTAAGATAATGGTTAGTAACAGTCCCATAGGCAAGATGGCATAGAACCTATAAACTAAACCTTTTATAGCATTGCCCAATCGAGCACAGGTATGGCTTCTCTCGTGTATGAACACGCAGATGACGGGCGTATGTGGACTTCTAAAGTGCAAGTGGATGTCTTAGATTCTCGGAGCCAAAACTAATGAGATTGATCTTGATAGACACAATATTCATTATCGCAGGGCATCTTACATCGGCAAATGCTCTGTTACACCCCTCTGCCGCACAAAGAAATGGTTTCTCTCCAGTATGCGTCCGAAGGTGGATCGTGAGTGCTGTACGCTGGTTGAATCTTCGTTTGCAACCAGGTATTGTGCACTTGAATGGCCTTTCGTTTGTATGAACTAAATGGTGGCGAGACAAGTCGGCGCGACGACTGAATGACTATAATAAAAGGGATGGTCATTACTCTAAGCCAGATTTATTTAAGCTTGAAAACTCGCCTTGTTGCACTCTGGATATGTGCACTTGAAATCTCGGTCTGCTGTTGAACTCATTGTTGGTCATACAGACGTACTAGGATGACTTGGCCAGAGTATACCTTGAACACATCCTAGGACTGCGCATTAATGAAATCTTGAGGTTGGAGGGGGATGCATTGTCATTAAACACGGCCAATATGTGCCATGCAGAAGGGATCAGCCATTCAATGGAAGTGAAACTAGAACGAGATTTCGCCCTGGTGGCACAGGTTGCCTTACTTAGTATAGCTCCTAGTCGTTCTGCAACCAGTAGAGGCTTATGCCAGATTCTCCCTATGAATACATGCTTTAGTGCGGAATTTGAAGAATGACTACTGCCTGAGCAGTAAGGATTGGTTCTGGGGAAGAGGTACAAGACAACATACATATCGAGGAAGTAGCTACATGATCTACGTCAGGGATTTTTATTTATTAACGATATTTGTACAGCGGGATGCCAAAATTACTTGTAAACTTAAACTTTCCATATAGTGGTGGGAGAAAAAGGAGGGCTTTGATAACGACAGGCATAATGTATATTCTCTTACGGATTGTTCACGATCGACAAATTCAGGGTTCTTCCCAGGGATAGCAACACCACTAAGTTGAGAACCGGAAATGGCTGAGCATGTTTGCCTCTGTGCTGTCAAGAAGCTTGGCGCTGTGCCAGTGCGCTCTAAGCCTCTTTTACATGTCTCATACACTCAGTGGAAGGCTAATATTTTATTTACACCAATAATCCTTAAGCAGAATTCCCTTACAGTCACTCAGAAGGGTTGTATTTGCTGAAGGTGCCAGGTGGGACCAGCATAGTTCAAGACTGGAAGACGTTATAGGAATTCGTGAGCCCACTGGGGTCTCTGGAATGATCCGGTGACTTGTGCTTCGAAATTAGCCTATTCCTTTGTAACATGCGAGCAATCCTTGGGACATTTGACATTTGAACAGCATCCGGCCTCGCCTTGCGTGCATGAAACTGGGCGAAGATCCATGATGGACAGGGGACGACGTCAATTCGTACAGGACTTGACTGGTCATTCATTTCTTAAAGAAGGAAATGGTGTTTCAGCCCTTCAGTTGGATTCGGTTCCGGTTATCTGCATTGCCATTTTGGTAGTTAAGGGGAGACTGACTGTCATCATAATTATACTGATGCACATGTTGCCTCCGGAATTGAACATTTAATGGCATATATGACTAAACAAAGATATGACGGCTGTCTAATAGGATAGATCCTATTTCAGCTGGGCAATTATGTCTAATACGGAGTGCGATGCGTGTGCTATGGTCATATTCTGCTGTGACCTTGAATCTGTAAAATGATAGCTTCATATCCCTTTCCTTGCATAAAGCGTTCGTAACACCCTACGATGCGACCGCTATGGTCATGTCAAAACACGCTTTGAGTCTACTATCGAAGAAGGTATAGGCTATCCATTCGGTGCTCAGGCCATTGTATACAATGTCCCCGCGGAAGTTCTCGCAAGTCTTGGGGATTGCCACAAAGGCCCTTATGACAAAAGTACTAATTTTACCTTTTCTTTTGTCATTATGTTTTCACCTTTGTGCAGTTTCTTAATGGATGACGCTCTGACAAGACTTCGCTTCAATAAGCCTTGCGTTCTCCTCTCCTTCCTGTTTTTAGTCGGTCTTACAGGGTGCTTCTCGAAAGAGTTAGAAGAGTTACTGCAGGTATTTTTCGGTAGTATGCTATCTAAATATGACAGTTATGATTTTGCGGCTTTCTGCCAGTCATCAGACACTGATGTCCTTGACTGCCGACATCTTCTAGTTTATACGTATTATTCGAAATAACTACTTCCCTCTAACCCACCTTTGTTATGTGTCTACTCTCTCTATTCGTTTTCTTTCTCTGTTCCGACATGATTTTCTGGGTTGAAAGCTACAGAGTTCGTTTCCAATGATTCGGAACCACCAGATATTCTATGGTGGATAACGTAAATGAGTCCAACCACATTACCACTTTCTAGTCACGCTCATTTCAGCATTTGAGGCTACCATGAATTTATCAGTTATTTTGCTATTGATAGTTCCTTACTACTATGTCTTCTACTTTTCTCAGTTAGTGCTTTTGATGGTGCTAGTGAGCTGTACCCCACAGGTCAACGCTCTCGCCACATTGCGGTATTTCATCTAGGATTGATGATCATACGAGACTGCCGAATGACAAATACTATGTTCCAGAAAGATAGCATTAATAAAAAGGCTAGCGCTTTATCGTCCCCCAGAGATCATGCCTGGTGAAACTTGCACCAGAAGCAAGATGTCAGGTAACTTCTAGCAACCATAAGTAATAAATCCCACTCCGCTCACACTAGTCGCGACCTGCAGACCTCGGCGAAACCCGACTCTGACACTGTCTATCCAGTGGGAACACTCGCAAAGACCTTCACGGCTGGAGCGCTCGGAATTCTCGTTCACGAGGGTCAGCTCAAGTGGGATACGCTGGTGCGGGATGTGCTGCCGCAATCTCGAAGCCGCGATGTCACGGTCTCCCACAACTTGACGGTCCTGGATCTTCTTTGTCACCGCGGTGGGTTGGCTCGGTCGAATCACTGGTGGCAAGGGGCTGGAGGTGTCCTCTTACAGGAGAAAAGTAGAACAATCCCGTTCTATAGCACACTTGAGCCAGCGGGTTCTTTCCGGGCGTCCTGGGCTTATAGCAATTGAGGCTATGCCATCCTCGGTGAGATCATCGAGCAAGCCCGTGGCCTGAGCTACAGAGACCCCCTTGTTGAAAAAATTTTCAAGCCTCTTCAACTTGACCGAACGACGACCGCCGACCCAGTAGCAACTGCGTGGCCTAACATTGCGAAGCCGTATGCTGCGCTGGACGATGGGTCCCTGTACCCACTGCCACAGCCCCCAGTGCATGGGGACACCATCATAGTCCCAGCCATGGGGATAAGCAGCTCAGTCAATGACCTTCTTAAGTATAGTGTCGGCCTCCTGCGGGCACACCGTGTCGAGTCTACTGCAGGTAACATTGACGATATCATCCTGCACAATGCGACCACCCATCTCGCTGAGCACATCTTCACCGCTGAAACAGTGACCGAAAAATCATATGCGTGTGGGTATTACCCGGAACCAGCTACCTAGTACCGTCATGGGAATGGGGTGGAATTCATTGTACGTCGAAAAGATGCCAGTCTTGACTCCCCGTGGCCATTGTGGCCAATTGATCTGCCACGGAGGCAGTATACCCGGATACCACAGCGCACTCGCTCTGCTCCCCCAGATTGACGCCGCCATTGTAGTATGCACCAACTCCACTGGTCTCGGCGATTCCTCCGGCTGGATCAGTATGGCGCTGATTGAAGCATTGGTTGATACGCCAAGTGCCAATGACTTCATCCGATACGCGACGGAGGCTGCCAATGGCCATTTCAGCAGCGTACCAGCCCTTATGAAGAAACTGGAAGAGGCACGGACATCATCTGTCCCACGTGATCTTTCTCAGTATATCGGACGGTACATCGACACCGAGCGAGACTGGGTAATCGACGTCCGCGCGAAGGAGCCGGGTCAGCTTGAAGTTTTCTTCCAAGGACTCGAGAGTCAAGCATGGCCGCTCAACCACTATGAACGGGAAATGTTCCTGTGGATCACGCCGAGGGATACCCAGGCCAAGCGAGCTCGCATGACCACGTACTCGCAAGGAGACATCTTCAAGTTGGTATTTATGGGATCTGATGACTCGATTGACCGGGTTTGTTGGCTACAGGAGCCGGGCCTCTTTATGGACAAGCAATGTTTCATGAAGGAACCGCCAAGTGGACGCCTGGGTTGCATTACGGAACCCGCGGGACGGCATCCGTCTTGCGCGGCTTTATGGACTGAAGGTGCAGCCTACCACACTAATTCTCCAGTTATTACCACTGAAGTGTGGGGTTCGCTTGACACACTTCGCGCATTTGCTGCGGCAGGTTTACGGCACTGTTACTTTGAATGTCCATTAGTTAGCCTCCAAACGATAACAATTCAGTGATTGAGATAGGGATTGCCAAGTAGCCAGAGCCACCGTTAGAGTGGCTATGAACCATGCCTTCGCGGGTCCTTTCTCTCCTGTTGAACTTGAACTTTCTATTTCGTTCTATTTCGTAAGATATACACATGTGTTTTGCAAGTTAAACTCCAGTGTAAATTCCGAAGTAGAAATTAATTTCTCCATGTTATCAAAGGTATAACCCTGTAACATATGATTTATTGTACTTACATCATTCCTAAAATTAAAAAACGACGAAACTATCCGTAGCCACGGTGTCTTTGCCCTTGCCATGAACATTGAGCGGAGATGGCATGCAACGTGACTGCAGACAGGGTAATGGATTGTACTTGATCTACTAACTGAATGACTGTGCAGCAGACAGGGGGTCGGTCGCTTCTTTTTATTGGGTTAAAACCAAGATGCGAGAACAGCATATAGCATTTGGCGTTTGCCACTTATACATAACGTGCAGACTTGAATGTTAAGGAGACCATACGAGGAAGCAAATAAAAGTTCGCAAGATGGTAGGGTCCCACTTTCATGATCTTTCAGACCCGGAGCTAGGTTTGTTTTCTACTCATGGAGTGAGCTCGTAAGGTAACTGAGTCGATGCACAGAGGGCCTAAATGCCCTGCAAGCACTTTTTAATGATGATCAAAATCTCCTGAAAGCTGATTTGATTTGCGGCGTCTACCGCACCGATGAGGAAAAACCCTTCGTTTTGCTGGCAGTCAAACAGGTGCAATCAATTGCTCGATCTTGGGCGCCCCTGCTGACAACGGCTGGCCTTTTTAGGCTACGGAACTCCTATGTAATGATCCATGTTGGAATCATGAGTACCCATCATCTCATCTCGACACCCAACGGTTTAGAGATCTTAGTTCCACGCTGCTGTTCGGGGAAGAATGCACATTTTTCAAGGACAAGCGGTATGTGAACCCAACGTCTCGGGTGGCTGGGAGTTGACCAAAATAGCACTGTCGCCGTTCAGACCCTCGGGGGGAGTGGAGCTTGCCACATGGGTGCAGTATTTCTGGATCAGCATTACGGCTCTTGGAGGGGGGGCGCTCCAAAGAGAGTATACATCCCTCGAGAGACTCGGGGTATGGTTCTCAGTCGTTCGTTCAAGCCAATGGCTAATTCTAACCGTGATCAGCGAATCATCCTAACGTCGTCCGTTACATGAAAATTGCGGTCAGCACTTTACCTTACTATAGTCCTAGATCTGGAGCGGTCGCTTTCGGTGAGCTGATAAACGCGCTGGACAACGTGCCAAATCAATTGTTGTCGTCCAAGTCGCGGCGAATGATCCGACCGGATGTGATCTTTCTCAAGACCAATGGGACTGCCTTGTCCTTGTCTTTCGCCGAAAAGGCCACTTCGCTTTCTTTGATGCAGCCTATCTAGGGTTTGCGTCTAGGAACCACTGCAGGGACAGCGCCCCTCTTCGGCTGTTTGTTGAACATTGCATTCCAATGTTATGCGCGACGTCTTACGGAAAGACCTTTGGAATATACGGCGAACGAATAGGGGTACTATCGATTCCACTGCCCACTGCTGAGTTGGCGAAGAAGACCGAGAAACATATGAAACTTTTGGCCCGAGCGGAAACTGGGGCAATGCCAGTCTTTGGATCAACACTCATTGAGTTAATTCTTGGCTGTGAAAAGCTTTCAAAGGAATGGAAGAGCAACTTACGTACCATGTCTGAAGAGTTAAAAAGGCGACGCCTTCACCTTCATACTTTGCTAAAGGGACTTGGAACCCCGGGAGATTGGTCGTTTCTCACAACCCAAACTGGGATGGTCTCGTGGGTATCCTGATCAACTCAATTATGAGGCTTACCTGACCCTCTCAGATACACTGGCTTAAGCTCGGGGCTGATTGACAAGATCCGCGAGACATTCCATGTTTGTTTGCAGGACAATGGCAGACTCTCCATAGCGTATGTTATAAACATAAACCTTACGCCCCTACAGCTGCGTCGCGTCTGTTCTGAATGAGTATAGGGGCTTAAATGCTGCCAATATCAGCCATGTGGCACGGAGTATTGATACCGTTGTTCGTCACTATCCAATTTCTGCCAGGAATCATTTTGGATATAATTGACTCCCACCTTATCCAGTGAGACGTCACGCATGCTTTGCAAATATCCTCTATGGAACTCGGAGATGGTATTCAGCAGTGATTGTCAAGGGAGCGGGAATACTAGGATTTTAACAACAGCTCTTCTATTCTCTATTATAGTATTTATAACTGCATTGAACATTCACTCTACTACAACGGCTATATGGTATGGACAACAGGGCTTCCCATCCGCTTAGCTGTACGTAAGCCCAGTAGTCCGCAGAACCAAGTCCCAAATATCCCTATATCGAAATACATGTTTGAAAGGGCATCGCCCAGACTGTAGGCAGATTGTGGGTGATGAGGGTGTGAGCTCATAAGGACAGTCTGTGTGTGGCTGCGCGGATTCTGTATATAATCATTTCCTCATTGTGGAAAAGAAGGACAGAAACAACGACTGCCGGCCTTGTACCCACCCCTACTATCTACCGTAATATAAAATCTCCCGTTATTCCATTACACGGTTGCAAAACCGCCCCATAACCCAACTCACAGAAGGACGGCCTTCACCCGATCATGCTTTCCAAAGAATACGCCGAACAAAACCGTTGTTACAGCCATGACGCCTGCCAACGACGAATACAGGATGACCAGATAAGGGTCCTTGGTGATGGGCGTAAACGCCATGGCCAGGCACGCCCCAACCCCAGCCGTGGCCATCCACACTGACTGAACTACTGACTTCATCGTCTTCGGGGCTTGATTGTAGGCGTACTCTGTCCCTGTGGTGAAGCAGAAAATTTCCGCAATCGCACCAAGAACATAGGTTGGTGTTTGCAGGAACATCGAGATCTGATTAGGAATGCGGCCATGGTCCGACTCCGGGCAGGTAAGTGGGTGATGGTAACAGGGTCCCGTGGAATAGACTAATTTCTGTAGTATCGCGGTGTAGACCATAGCAAGAGTGAGAAATAGGAATCCGACCAAAATGCGGGCCATAGGACCAAATCGGATCCTGCGCTGGGTCAGGAATGGATATAGGCCCCGCGAGATCACTGGTGTCATTAATATGCTGGAGATTGGGTTGAGTGACTTGATAGTATCATTTGGAACCCCAGAGTTGACCATCTGCCCGGCCTGTGAGATCAGGTTATTGAAGGTTTGATTCAGGCACAACCAATGGATGGGGAAGAGAAGACTGGAGGATGGTATTAGGTTAGTTATCCATGCATTTCAATTAATCACTGGGAAGGCATACAAAACACGACATGCAAGCAATCCACTTTTTAACTCATCAATGAATGCATCAGTCCATGGCACCTGTCTCTGGTGCTTCTCTTGTTGCTTCTGTGGCTTAGCTCCATCCATCTGGAACCCTTCGCGAATTCCATACACCATTGCTCTGCTGGCGTGTGGTAGGACGGAGCCACTTGGAGGGCGCCGAACTGGTCATGAGAATGGTCGGTATCTATTTCTCTAGCGTCGGTGTGAGGTGTCACTCACCAAATGTATGTCGCCACACTAGCAACGGTACAACTGACAGGGCCATCATGCACAAGGGAATCAAATATGCGACCCAGTATCCAACATACTTCTCCAGGACCGTGGTGATTAGGGCCGATAGTCCTCCGACATTCACCATCCTAGATATCAACGTGTCAACAGCGTCGCATGTTGAAGCAAGGCAGGTGGGGGAAGAAATACCAATAGTATACATTGTAGATGTATTGGATCGTGAGTTCTCGATCCGTAATGACCTTTCTTCCGTTCTTTAGCAACTTGATCTTGGGAGTTGTTTCGGTATACTGCTCCGCTACGGACGGTCACAAATTAACTTGGTGCGATCGGTGCTTTCAACTTAAGACATACCGATAAATGGAGCCACGGATGATCGCACGCCTCCTGAGCCTACAGCGATGAGCACAATGGCAGTAGCTAATCCACCTTCCGCGGCACCGACTTGAGCGGCGCGAGGACAGGAGGTCGCGAACAAAATCACCGAACCACAGAGTTCGATGCTGTGTGATCATTAGCTTGATGACGATGGGAGCAACCCACCTAGGACCATACATAGCGGAGATTAGAATCGTTCTGTACCGACCCAGCCAGGTGTCAGCCACCACCGCTGCTGGGATAGTTGCGAGATAACCCCCAGCCATCATCGCGTTTACAATGTTGGTCGCCGTCGCTTCGCGCAGGCCGAGTACGCCGGGAATGTTGCTCAAGGGAGAATGCTGGATGTAATTCTCTGCTACATATCAGAATTCCTTGCCCCGCCATTGAGTTACTTAACAGCAGGACTCACGCAAAGGGCTGGTTGCTCCGTACCACACAAAGCGCTCAGCGGCCCCCACGAGCGCAATCAGCCATACTGGGAAGGGTACGTCGTCTACCACTGGAAGCAGATCTTCTTTGTCATGCTCACTTGCGCCTGATTGATCTTGTTGTGAATCTCCCTTATTTTCGATGGATGTGACCACTGTCTGTCTTTCGATATCGTCTGACGTGCTCATGATGAGTCTGGCAGGCAATGACAGGCGTCGCTATTTTTGACACTGATGGAAGGTGGACTGTAGAGAATAACGGCAAGTGAGATTGGTAGCTATTCAATTAAAGTAAAAAGCATAGAAAAGAAGATAGGGGAGGCGGTTTAATAGGTAACTTAGAGCAGCGAGGTGGAGGGTATGAATCCTATCAATTGCATTCACTCATTCATTTTCATTCCGACGGCGCTCGGAATACAGGCCTAGGGATGTCTGAATAAACTGGTGTTCATCCCGAGCGGAGTAAAACCTGCGATTAGTAACGGGGGGAAACTCCGACAATGTGCTTTCGTCTTCTCCCCCTCTTCCACCTCGACCACCACTACCACTGACAAGCGGATAATATGGCTATGGACAAGACCACCTCGTCTGTTAACCATGGACAACGTTTCCAGGCTCAGGGTCCGAAAGAATGGCAAACCTACCTCCTGCGAACCGTGTCGAGTTTCTAAAATCCGGTGTGACCATCATCAACCAACTTGTAAACGATGTGACGTTAGGGGTTTAAGTTCCAAGGTACACACTCCTCTAATTCAGTTTCCAATTTGGATCTGGATTTAGATGACGAGGATCACAAGGCGTGTACTGACAGAGCACCAGTGTTACTATCATCCGGCCCCCTTGACCCGATCACGAAAAAAGGCGCAGGCAGCTCGCAGCGTATCTCCTATCAACCCGTCGTGTGAGGATGGCGAGGTTCCCAGCATTTCCACGAGCCGTGGTGACAGCATCGTGCCAGCTGAGCCTCAAATGGACTTGACGTCTACGTCTCAGCCAACCTACTTGGGATCGACCAGCTTCATGTCAGCATTCCACTGTGGTCAACAGCATCAGTGTCTCTCTACACCAAAAATTGCCCATGCATCCACCTTGCGCATGGCTTGGAGTGCCGACTTCACTCATGTATTTCCCCGACTGGTTCAGCTTCTACGCCCCCTCAGGCTCTATGAAGATTTAGTGACCGACGAATACCATCGGAGTCCGTTCACAGTCATCCCAGCTCCTCTTGTTCTTACACCCTTGAGGCTACTTCGAAGCCACTGGGAGAAGGAAAGATGGCCGCATGAACGTTTGGGACACCAGATCACTCAGAACACGGCCACCCAATTGGTCAAGATTGAAGCACACATGACCACAGACCAGTTTTACTATTTGTTCACAGGTGCAAATCTGCGATGGGACTTTGTCGGCCTCATATTCGCCCTGGCGGGACTCGGTGCTAGCGTCTCATCTCGTGGCTCTCCGTTGTTCTCTCTGAACGGCAAGGATGAACTAAGCGCAGATGCCTTTGCCATGGAGATGGCAGCAGCAAGCCATGCATGTATTGAAATCTGCAGACAGTACGACAATGTGACTGACTTGATGGTTTGGCTGAACTACACGTACTTCGTATTGGCGTCCAAGATTATGGGAGAGACAAGTAATGACGTTCACTCCATACGGTTGGCCTGCAATGCACAAGGTTGACAGAGAATAGGCCATCATATGTACGCACAATTTGGGGACATGGTCTCCTGCATCCATGCTATGGGCCTACACCGTCCAGATCCTCCCGGGTCCTCCATTCCTTTGTTTCTTTCGGAGGCCCGTAAGAGGGTTTTTGCAGCGTCATATCGCGCCGACAAGAATATCGCTACTTTCCTGGGAAGGCCGCCTCGACTCCCCTACCATTATTGCGACGTGGGACTACCCTTGGATGTCGATGACGATATTCTAGTCCTGGATCGTCCTTCCCTCGACAAGGCCATAAGCCAGCTCACGCCAGACGGATGGGGCACTTTCAACGGTGGTCTTCGCCCTGCCACAGTCATCCGGCTGCGATACATGGTAGCGATGTTGCGGGAGCAGGTTGTGGGACTGTCCTTAGGGCGGGGCTCGGTTGATTCAAAACAGAATGAACTCCCGTAGGATGGCCGGCGTAGACGACTTCTCTCTCAGTATGGTGAAAGCTAATATGCTCCTAGGTTTATATATCAAGAGTGTAAGCGGTTGTGGGACACAGTCCCCAGCGAGTTTCACTACAGTAAGCAGTTCTGGAAGGCTTTAAGCCCGCACCTGGCAATAGTAAGTCTGGTCATCCATCTGGAATACCTCCACACGGTGTTTCAGGTCGAGCGCATCCGTTGCAATGAATGCGCCGACGCCATGACCGATCTTCTGGACTCGGCCATGCAGATTGTCTCGGTTGTCATGGAGTTTGCAAAGCACCACGATCAACAAGGCAGCATGCGGGAGCAGTACACATGGATTGTAAGCCGCTGTGAACCGTCTCCATATCTGTCTTTCAATTTCTAACCTGTCGGGATCAACTAGTTTCTCTTCTATGCCCTCCCGGCAGCAGGTGCCGTTGCAACCGAGCTCCATCGATGTACGGTGTCCAGCGTGCCACTACCGTGTTCCATGTCTAGGTCCAGAATTATCCGTGATCTAAGTCTGCTTGTCTCCTGGTTCGAAGGAGCCAACCCATCGACTTGTCACACACATCAGGTATGTGTGGAGGTCACCAAGGTCATAGTCAAGCTGTTAAATGATACGTTGGATTATCCGACGGGCGGGCAAATGGCGGATGGGCCACAACCAGGCACAGGCAATCGCTCTGCCCCAACTAGCGATGATCGAGTGTGGAGTACTTCTCATTCGATTGGGGTGTCCTTAAATCCCTACGAACAGAGTGGGACGACACCGAACGTCGATGCGCTTGAAACGAGTGAGGATTTCTTAAACTGGCTGGAGGAGTTTGGGTTGGACACAAGCGTGCCTGAGTACTTCTGGTGCCAGTAGTATGCATTGACCATCACCGAGTTCCATTTGGGCTCTTTACGACGAGATATGCGGCACATGAATTGGATTTGTTCTGCCCACCGATATTTGAATACACTAATGCTGGACTCGATAGCTCGATTGTCTCAGTGGGAAAGGGTCCAAATGGTGCCTATCCTGTTGACTAGCATGGAACTGTGACTGGCTAGGACCGGATACAGTTTATATCCAAATAGCATTGATCCCTGCGGTGAAATGTATGTTTATTCTGTGACTGGGATAATCGACATGGAAATAGTTAAATTGATCCTCATGTCTTCCATGCCACGTCAACTAAATCCTGCTCTACCCAACATCTGGCTAGTTCAGGAACACGGAGCAGTCGTCATTCAAATGTGTGAGCCAATTATGTTGAATGATCGCCATACTGCGCAAGAGGCCTTCACGTCCATTTTTTGAACGGAGGATGAGTACGGAGAGAAAGGGCATAGTTGGTGCGTTGGGACTCGGCACGAAGTCTCCCTTGGCAAACGGTTCTCGTCGCAAGAGAATATTGTCCATGACGTCTGGGTGCTCTTCCTTGAATTTCTGCGCCGGGTCACCGGATGTGAGAATCCCCTCCTCTCTCCGGGATAACTAACATGAATACATCGTCATACTGCGGTCCACACATAAACGGCTCGGATAGGGCTCGTATGCGGGCTTCATCCCCCAGTGCATGGAGCACATGGAGAGCAAAGTAGTCTACTCCATAAGTCCACGCGAGGGACGTGAGACCATAGTATCCGGGTGGGCGAGGGTTGACCTTGATGAGGAATATACTGGGCTTTGGCCGTTGCTGCTTGTCCCTTGTCACGTTGTACTGCAGGTACAGTATGCTGTTCTCCTCCACATATTTCATGGCAGAGTACCTGACACGCGCCTTAATGTGGAAGACCCCGCTTCGGAATCCTATATGGAGAATGTGATCCAGTAGCGCCTGGCGTAGGAGATCCTGCTCGCTGGGGGGTAGCCGAGATGGATGGATGAATGCTGTCTCTTGAAATGTATCAGAGCTTGTGGCTCCTGGGCTATCTGCATTGCTTGGGAAGTCATCTGACACCTCACAGAACAGGATCTCCCCGTTCCAGAGAACAAAGTTCACGGCAACCTCTCGTCCATCAATGTAAGGCTTAATAAGAACGTCAGAAGCGACGTGAACCGTTCCTTCAAGCTAGATAAAGTGCTGTCCTACCTTTTCCACAGCTCAAAATAACTGTGTCTCTGTAAACACCTTGGACACACAGTGGCTTCTGTTGCCCTCGCATGGTTTCACCACCAGCGGATACTGGAGGCGAAGTGGCTCGTTCCCATCTGACAGGTGGAACTTCTCTTTGAGGTCTAAAGGCCCTGAAACACATAGAGTAAAGCTGCCCTCAATCTCGGATAGTCACATGGCATACTTGTTCGTGGCCTTTTCAAATGCCGCTGCCGGTGCCGTTGGGAACCCAGACGTCTCCACCACCCCAGCTACCGCAGTGACCAACCTGTCGTTTCTGGTGACGACGCCATCAACACGAAGCGCTTTTAGTGCTCGCGTCAGTCGGTCAGCAAAGGAGGCATCTACGTTGGTATCAGATGGGACGAAGGCCGCCCGTAAGTGGGCCAAGGCCCGTCATCCGGTTCCAGCCAGTGGTCTCGGTGGTCGAGGACAATCAGCTGGATCCCAAGACTATAGATTGTTTCAATGGACTTGTGATCTTGTATACCTAGCTTCTTCCTTCTTTACCAATTCCACTTTACTCCTTTATAGTCTATTAGGATAGTTAGTGTATATCCCTATACTGAGATTCTAGCGTCTAATAATTAGAGAAGAAATAGAAGGGTAATTGAAGATATTTTTCTTAGAATAGTCACTCCTACTTATATGGAAAAAATTCTGTCCTAATCAGGGGCTCCGTCGTCCTCAGTGGCTCAAAAGTTCCAACACGGAGGGGTAAAGGAAACCACTTAAAGCGGAGATAACCAAGTCGTTTAGGCCAATGAAGCACTTTTGCGCGACAGGGGCGGAAATAGTGCCATTAGACTATCAGGTTCACATGTGTCTGCTTTGAGAGGACTTCATGAATAAATTACTCGTGTCAGCAGCCACCTGCTGACAGTGTTCATCTGTTTGAGACCAACCTTGACGTGACATCTTACAATGGCGGAAGAGAGAACAGTTCAACAGGCCATCGACGAGTACATTGCTACACTTGAGGTTCCTTTACGAGAGCTTAATAAAAAGGTACGACGGTGATCTCTGTGGTTTGCTATAGTATTGCTAATCATTTGAGCAGATTCACGAGAATCCGGAACTAGCATATGAAGAGCACCACGCTCACGACACCCTCTGCGCCTTTCTGGAATCCTTAAATATTCCCGTAACTCGCCATGCGTACGGGATCTCGACGGCATTCGAGGCTACAGTCGGTGACCAAGGACGGTGTGTCAATTTCAACGCCGAATATGATGCTCTACCCGAAATCGGACATGCGTGGCCATAACCTTATTGCCACTGCCAGCGTGACGGGCTTCCTGGCTCTGGCATATGCTATCAAGAAATTTGGCCTCCCTGGTCAAGCGCAGCTACTCGGCACTCCTGCAGAGGAAGATGGAGGAGGAAAGATTGATCTGATCACCGCCGGAGCTTACAAGAAGGTGGACTTGTCTCTAATGATGTAGGTTTGCCTCACCAGTATCCTGCAGGTAGCTAACAATAGCAGTCATCCCATGTCAGAGGACGAGTTTCTTGATCGGATGGCCACGGGTATAGCTGGACGCTCATCCATCTCTCTGTACGATATAATCTGTACCTACGAAGGGGTGAGCGCTCATGCAGGAGTCAATCCCTAGGAAGGCGTCAATGCTCTGGACGCAATTGTGATGGCGTATAATGGGATCTCCATGCAGCGTCAGCAGATTCGCCCCGATGAGAGAATCCACGGCGCCATCGTTCAGGCTCCGAGCATCACGAACGCAATCCCGGAGCTGACAAAGACCAAGTATACCGTGCGCAGTCCGACTATCAAAGGAACCAAGGTGCTTGGTGAACGCGTGCGGCGATGCCTGGAGGCCGGTGCATTGGCGACGGGATGTAAAGTCAAGCTGAAGGAAAGCACTATCTATGCGGATCTTGTGGTCAACTCTTCTCTTTGTGAAGAGTTTGCACAGAAGATGGCCGATCAAGGGGACCGGATCCTGCAGATGGATAATGTTCCGATGGCGGGGTCCACTGATCAGGGCAACGTCTCCCATCTCGTCCCGGCACTTCATGGACTGGTTGGCATTCCGGTATCTGATGGGGCCAAAAATCATACACACGAGTTCACAGCAGCGGCCGGGACAGACACTGCGCATACTCGAATTGTGAGGGCTGGGAAAGCCATGGCCATGACTGGGTGGAGATACCTCATAGATGACGACTTCTGCGGCAGAGTGACTCAGGATTTCAATAGGAGGACCGCCTTAAATTAACTCTAATAGAAATTATAGCGCCTACACCACTCTGATAGCCTAATACCAGTTGACTTGGGGCAAACTTGCAGTACTGTCCTACATAGACCACATGCAGCCCCTGCACCGGCTGAACATCCTGCGTATCCTTATCCTCCGAGCCGAGGACCAACACATCACGGCACTTCTAAGTGAAAACATAGCAGACAGCATGGTAAATGAACCAACCTTTACCGCTCATCTTCTTCCGGTCGAATCTTTAGTGCGCGTTTTGTCCTGGCCGTGTCGAGGCGACCGACAGCAACGCAGGGGATTTATACCCTTTTAGATTGGTTCTGACTCGACTATCTCGTCCTCAAGTAGAGTGCACTGCACGATACCGAATATTATCCCGCCCCTGTCTGATGACTGGTAAACTGTTGGTTCTTACTGTGGTAGTATGGGGAAATCGATGTGGTGCCTACCATGCGTATGCTACTGCTTTCCTTACTGCTTTGCTTAATGCTGTTTATGTTTCTGCTGCTTACGCCTATCACGAGGCCTGAGTTCACGGTAACGGGTGCGATAAACCTTGTCCTGGACACTGTCGACGTGGGATTGTATTATTGGTTGCTACTTGGAAAATGAGGCATTAGTTTTATGAGGCAATTGCCTCGAATTGCCTTCCTTGGTGGGTTAGGCATTTTCCCCTCTTAAGCGAATGTTGACGTCACCTATGGCATATCGCTTTATGATATAAGGACGAATTGTTCTCGTCGTAGTTTCACATCTTCCTTAGATGCCACATTCGCCTACCTTTGATCTTCAGTATGTCTGAGGCAGAAAGTATGATTGAGCCTAATGTCCTCGATGAATCTTTTATTACATCTGGGCTCTCTAACCTCAGCATTAGAACATCTGAGGGCCCACCAGAATCATCACCGCAGACGCAGAAGGCAAGGCTAGTTCTGCTACAGCCTCTAGCCAACACCAAGATGCTTCAAGCCTGCCGTAATCCCCAATCACGCAGGTTCCCCAAAAATAATTGCATGTTTACTTCCAGTAATGAGCTCCTTGATATCCAACCACTTAGTAGGGCGTGGAGAGGGGCAATAACGAATGTCCCGCCCTTTTCACATTTGATATTCGACCTTACTCTACCTAAGGAGACTGAAAATTGCAAGGACACTTTCCAGAAAGTTCACTGGGACACATTTATTCCGGAAGACAATAGTCTCGGTGTCCGTTTGAGGGACGTTACGACTTTGGTCAGGACTATCGCCACCGAAATGAAAATACGAACAAAGGGTGACGTGTGGTTCGACGTTGTCTATGACGAGGTTGAAGGGTCAAAAGGGATAGCGCCGAGAGCAATGGTAATTCTGAAGAAGCAGCTTCTTGCACTGAGTCAGCAGGTCCCAGTGGTGAAAGATGGAGAAAAAGGTGAGTTCAATGGAACAGCGGGTGACGGTAACGCAACCCAGGCACCAGAGCAGTCCAGTTACTGTCGGAAGAGCGTCGAGCCCAACAAATTGGTATTTTTTGGCAGATCTGGCGAGCGTCATGAGATATATGTTCCCAAGGGTACTCTTCAAAAAGCTATCGACCTTTTACAGGAGGAAAACTGGGATGAGCTTCTCAAATTCCCTCCTTATAGTGAGTCAAGCCTCTAGAACTTGTTCATCACCAGCTGATATTCTATAGTGGATCAAGGATATAAGGACTGGGATTGATTGCGACCGCGCACAAGTACCTGAAGACTCTCAGATAATCATGCAATGGTTTTGAATTTTTGATCAGGCCAATGGCCAAAAGTCGGCTGGATGAAACAGTACTGTCACCGAGTTCTCCTCGCCTATGTGTCACCTGATCACGACCGAAATTCTGCATTGTTTTTGATTTTGTTGCAGTCAGAGACTGAATGAAATCGGGAGCTCAAAACCTGATGGATAGATACCTACACAATGTGTAGTTTGCCACTCAACGCACATATGCTTAAGACTGCTGCTCGAAATCGTCCCACTAAAACATAATTGTAGCGTCTCTACTCATTGGTACACTTACTCATACAGAGGATACAGCGAACTTTCTCTTGCAAACCACTCTAGATTCCAGTATGACATGGCATTCTATTGTATTTTGATGGTAGAATGGCGCCCCGGGGAAGCGTGAGACCTGAGTTCAATAAAAGCAACTGGTATACTGAGCATACAATCAATCATGGAAGCGCGGAACTACTTGGATACACCCCAATCCTTGCCGGATTCAGGTACGACCACCCCCATGGCCACGTCCATGCGGTCCTCGAACGTCACATAGCCCGTCTTTCGCGAAAACACAGCATTTCGTACGGCGTCTTTCCAGCTGGCCCACCAGTCTTGCTCATCCTGGACGGCACACCGGCGACCAGCCTCATTGGCCGGAACATTCGCAAATGGCCAGATCACCTCGACGCACTCGTAGCGCTTGGCCGGATCTTTCTTCGGAGGTATCTCCATACTCCAATATAAGAGGTCTTTGAAGGAAGCGTTGGGCTCGGCTCCGTGCCGGACAACGACCTCTGCAAAGGTCAAAGGAAAGCTGACCTCCACCACGCCTTGGTAGCGAGTCGAGGCACAGCGGTGCGAATCAGGCCGTCGAGTCTCTCTTGGTCGAAATTGACCACCCGGCGCCTAAGCGTGAAGCTGAGGGAGTTCAGGAATACACTCTTTCCTGGGAAGTAAGTGACTCACCATTTAAGGGGAGCAGGATCCTCGCAATACAGCTTTGTCAGTGTCTCAATATCTACAGAGGCAACATCGTAAGCTTGCCCGGGTGACACAGGCTGGTTGCGTATGGTGACGCGGCTCGGATCCAATTTGAGTAGGACCAGCGCTCAAGATTCGACACCAGCAGCGGCAGTAGGTTTAGCGTGAGATCAAAATCATCTTTTGTCTCTCCGTATTCAGAGTGTGTACCACGAATGCGCACGAGCAGCTTTGGAGGCAGTTGGGCCTGCTCCTGCATAAGCCGCAGAAGGGCGCCTGAATCGCGGCTGAAGTCTTCATGGCGAGTCACGGTCGTTACGTGGTCATCTGTTAGCATAGCGCCTGGGAACTGGTATCGCGAGAAGTCGAGGGACGTAAATAACGGGGGTTGGTGGAGGTCTTGGCTCAGCGTCAGCGTGAGCGAACGAGGCGAGGTAGACACCGGTGTACTGGTGGCTGTCGAGGAGTACGCTGGCGGCAGTTGGCTAGAATCACTAGAATGTTTGGAGTCTGCCATTATCGAAGAGAGTGTAGTTTGATTCTCTTTCAATGCGAGCAGACTTGGAAGAGTTCAATGGTGCAGGTGGTGGCGGGGATGGCGTCCTAATATGATATGCAGTGGCTTAGCTGTTTGCACTATTATCCCCCATTAAGATGTATTACAAATACTGGTAGTGGAGTTTCGTTGTTACGTACTATAGACTAGGTAGACAGTCACGAGTAGTCTATACTACCTACCTATTTCGTACAGCAGGCATTGTGTTGGCTGGATTAGGCGACAGACACGCGAGAATGAGATTACCTGGGCGAATTATTTTAACAAGCTGCAGCCAGACCAGAACCATAAGCAATAGGGCCGCTAGAAATAGGATAATAGAGGCTATAATGGTTGCGCGACTTCTGCATGCATTGAGGCTATATAGATTAACTAGGACTAGTTAAATCTTAGTAAGAGTAGTAAAGAGGGCCTGAATTCCCTATTGTCTTGCTTCTCAGGGGACAGGAATGCAGATAGGTATCCATAGACCACCTTTCCTTCTAGCCACCCCCCCTTATTACACCTTGCGGTCTCGTTGCTGAAGATGCCAGGCATAAAATAGACTGGCTAGAAGAAACAGGGCGGCCAGAAGCAAAATTAAGATATTGTGTTCAAACGAACAAGGTGAAATCAAATCGACCGCGACAGCTGCCAGCCCAAGGCCGAAAAGACACGTCGTTGTTCGGCGAGCAGCTTGGTGCTTCCATCATTTCCACCTTCAAGGAATCCGGCTGTAGAGTAAAGACTCGAAGAAGTGTATGTATCCATGGTTTGATGACACACCCAAGAGCGAGAGCTGCGAGACAAAAGGGCAAAAGAGACAAAGAACAAACTGACCAATATCGGTATTTGTAATACTGGTATCGACAAGTCAGGCCCTGTCACTTTGTTCCCATTAACTACTCGACAAGGCTGACAGAGTGATGGGAGGGAGACCGGCGGAGCCTGTGAAAGAAAAAGCGTGGTGCTGATGGCATGAGCCTTAGATTGACGAGCGTAAGGACGTGTTCGAATTGCTGCGACATGGATAGATTCAGGACAGAGACAGAGAGAATAGCCCAATTGGAATGTTTCTGCCTGATCTTGACATCAATGTGTATCCGTTGGTTGTATGTTTAAGGGTTCTACAACTTTACCGGTATCTTCTAGTATCGTCTGGTATGGTACCAATTTGTATTGTATGAGACTGGATTATGGGAGGGTGACAGTAAGTCCTCGGTGTACACCAGAGCGACCCTAAGGACTAGGCTGAGCAAAGGTTGAATCTGGGGAATAAGGTTGACGCAGACACGCAACAATTAAATAAGTACTCAGAAACACTTCCCGGCAGCTAATCCTGCAAAGGCTCAGGAAGAAACAGCAAGATGGCAGCAGAAAGAAGAGAAAACTGATCTAGTTCCGCAAAGAGCTCATCTAGGGCATCTACCCATGTGCGGGTCATCTCTCTCAACAGGGTGTTGGTCCAGGCGTCAAAGTGCCCCTGTGTTCCAAAAAATTCCAAGAGAAGTATCCGATGCTGGCTGTCCTCACAACAAAGGCAGCCTTGACAGCACATGGCTAAGATGTATGGAATTTGCTAATCAACGCACAGGGTAAACCTTCCGCCAGTAATGAGGCTGTAGTACCTTCTGAATACCTGGGTGCTCTTGAAGCATTGTTGGGACTTGTGGGTCGTCAAAATAATCCTTCTTGAGATCGCTAACATCAACGTATTGAACAAGAAGTTGACTTGCTTGTTTGTTGGCTGAACGTATAGCTTGGAATAGTGCACTGAGACCCTCCTTGTCCTTATCAAGGGGATCTGCACCTTTTGTAAGAAGCAACCTGACTTCAAATTCGCTGCCCACCATGGCTACCCAACATCATGCCATTCGACCCTCATGATCTTGACAATGTACACCGAAAGCATATTCTTTCGGGACTAAGCATATTATTTCTCTGGAGCCCGTGGATTCCAGCGCACATAACAATAGACGGCGGCGATTGTGTGCGTCGCCTCTGGTTCCAGGACAGAGCCTTGTTCCAAGAAGGCCCTGACAACTCTGGCCCTCGCATTTTTTGCAGCTGTAAACAGAATTTCATGATTGGCAATGTTGCCAATGTCTCGACATTTTGCGCAGTACTGGAATAACAATTTGACAATCCCCCCAGCTTCGTTTCTCGAAGATATTGCAGCAAATTAAAGAGGTGTTCAGGTTTCATCTTCTCCATGTCGCGTCCAGTTGATCTCGGAGTCAGGGTCTGCACCCGCATCAAGCAGCATCTGGACTAATAATATATTACCACCTATTACTGCCAAGGCGAGAGGTGTCCGTCCATCGGATATCTGATGGTTTGGATCCGCTCCTCTCTCAAACAGTAGCTGAACAAATGTCTGCATATTCGTTGGCCGCTTTAGACAGCGCTGTGTGCCCACTTGAAGTGTGAGTCATAATGACAATAACTCCCCTATCAAACAGCAGCGCCACTATTTCCTTGTGATTATTGCCTGCTGCTAATATATGCGGAGGTAAGTCGTCATCGTTTTCGGGGCAAAGGTCGACAGCTCCATGCTTTAGCAAGATATGGACAATCTATAATAACCCTTCTCTGCTGCCCATGATAGGGCAGTGTGTCCTCCAATAAACCATTTACTTCACGTAGCACCTCTAGGTCGACCCCCTTTTCAAGCAACTGCTCCGCTACCGACTCGTGGCCAAATGCTGCTGCTGCTGTCGTGTTATGCTTATCTCCTTATTAAAGGGCATTCTCGTATAAACGGAATTACCCATTAGCTTGATTTTCCATTATCATCCTGGGGCAAACAGCTACCAGGGCTTGTTACTCAAGTTGGGTCTGGTACACGCCAGGCCCTTTTCTATGCCATGCTAATCCGACAATCCAGTCCTTGATCCCAAATACACTCTCATACCACATATTGCTGGGGGGTTCGACAAAAGTTGGAGCGAATAATATTCAGAGTTTCTTAGGGGATTCGCTGATTGACGTTAGCTGGATGCTCGCCAGATTTTGCACTTAAGATGGGACCCTCGATTCCGCTTCCCTCCCCAACTTCTCGAGGATAACCTCGCAGCAGGTCCAGATCCGATGGCGATTTTTGAGGTTCAACCAGCTAGCCTGCGTTTTGTTCATTCCGTCTTCTGGCCTTGCAGCAGCTTCCTTGATGAGACGGATCAGATTCTTGTAATTAACCTGTCCACCAGCTTGGGCAACACTTTGCCGAAGTGAGACTTGGTCGGTCCATGGGCAATCATAGACCAGACGTAATCTCCAAAAGTGATCGGGTAGGGCCCGGACAGCTCCACGAAATGCGGTACTAGCAATGACCAGATTGATGACGGATGGCGAAGGAAGCATCTGCAACATCCTATAGCGGACGTCCCACGGTAGACTCGAGAACGGATCTACACCTGACAATTCTAGCGCACCCACGTTTACAATTGCATTTGTTGAGTCTGGGTCCGAATTCTTTGACGCAGAAACGAGCTCAGATATGTCGACTGGCTTCAACGGGTCCGCGACTAACCACTGGAATGCGTCAGCTCATACTTTGATGCACGGAGAATGCGCGCTTGAACATCATTTAGGTAGACTTACTTCAAACCCTGGCTCTGCTTCCCACTCTTGCGCTTGAAAGTTCTCGGTGCCACCATAGACTCTACTGTCCTCCCAGTCGATGGATGTCTCCATGTCATCCTTTAGTCGAGCCTGCATAGTGAGATACACCCGGCGCGGCTCTAATGGCAGCGAGCTCGAACCCACAGTTTGATGTACAAGCTGAAGCATCTGCCAGCAGGTATCATGTAGAAAAAAGCCATCCAGATTGGCCCAGAGCGTTCCATCGCTACTCCCTGCATTTTCGCCAGGGACTGTGAGTCCATACCAAGGATCATAGGTGCCCTTGAATTCATCAGTCACAGGCACTGACATGACGATGAACACTTTTACCGCTGAACTTTCTTTTGGACTTACAATTTCAGTGATATAGAATGCGTCGTCATCATCCTGAATTTGATTATGCTTGTCACTTCGGCAATCCCTAGCACGCAGCATTCTCACTTTCTCTAGCCACTAGCAAGAGTCAATGACGAGATTCCTATGTGGATTGTTAACATACCAAGACATCCTTCTCGGATACCAAATCCCCACTGTATCCCTTGAGGGATGCGCAATAACTATCGTGTTCCCAATCCGCGGCAGAGTTCTTGTCATCTTCTCCGTCCTCATCGTCTTCAGCTTCTGGTCTGTGCTGCGCCTCGCAGTCACACTCATCGTCGTAGCAAAGACTTGGGTCTTCGTCTTCGGAGGCGGTGGAAGCTTTTCGGAGATCATAGCAGGACAGTGGCCCACCGCAGATGTTGCAGTAGAAGGTGATTTTTCCCATTATCACCGTGTTGGCAAATGTAACAAATGCCAGACAGACATGTGAGGGGAAAGTAAAATGTAAGTTTTAGATGCTCTAATAATAAGAAAGATCTGTGTCGATCGTAATGCGCCAAGCGAATCCCACGAACCGACGCGGAATACGAGGCACTGGCTAGGCCTGATTGGTGGATCCGCTTCACATGCTAAGCTAAATACGAGGATCTACACAGTAAGCTGATCCTGTATAGAATTAGAGTCAATGGAAGGGATCATGTCTGTTTCAGGCTATATCTGGGTAACGCCCTTAGGTGAAATCAGAGTCCGGAAAACCACAGTCAACTACCTGTCGGAGGAATCAGATACCTGGCCGAACTGGAACCATGCCTGCCTCCAGGGCATACCCATTCCTGTACGCCAGTGCAGTCTGCGACCCCTCAACATCGATCACATAACCATACTCACATCGACCAAAGAGATAGTGAACTGGTCACGGTAGAGAGCGACATACTTGTGATCTATAGCATCCAGTAGATTGTGCTCCGATCCATCCGGATGAAGCACATCCCATGGCTTGCCGCAAGTCTTCCACTGACACGACTCGAGGACGAGGAGAAGGGCATCAAGTCTGGAGATCACTTTGGAGATATCAAACCCCATGATATGAAGGTTGGTGGCCTTTCCGTACGCTGGGGTGGAGATTGTGGATTTGATACGGGTCAGACTGCGTTTATTAGCCTTCTGCGATATTGTTGGAGGAGCTGCCTTCTGGTGTAGCAAATGATCCATGTAAGATAAAGGGTACTCTGTTTAAGTAATACTATCAGGATTAGCATATGCTAGTAGAAAAGGTAAAGGAAACAGGACCGAATACATTCTTTGAACTGTGGAATATTCAGCGCTGTCCTCCCATACGTGAATGGCATTAGAAACCCATAGTGATAGAACCGTAAGCCATGATGAGTGCATCTCTTGGACACGATAGGATAGACTTATGACTCCAACTCATGCACATGTGTTTTTCCATCTGTACCCTTAGGAGAAGGCTCAGGCCATGCTTTGTCGCCCATCAACTCATGCCTCTGGCCCTCCGTCCCCAACTCTGGAATACCGAGTGGTGGTATCGCAGGTCCGACACGCAGTGCATTTTCTCTACTCGCTTTCTTCAATCTCCTCCGCAGTAATATGGTATATGCAACCAACGCCCCAAGTAGAAGTATTCCCAAGGATACACCAGCCCCAATACCGGCTTTTGCCCCCGTGCTTAATCGATCGGACGCGCTCGGTGCGTCGGAGGATACAGTTGCTCCCGAAGAGGTAGAGCTCGAGACATCTGTGACCGTGCCTGATGTGGATGTGTGCGTGCTCGCCCGCGTCCGTGTGGAGGTGACATAGATGGTTGTTGCTCCATTAACAGTGGCCTGTGTAATAAAAGATAACAATGTTGAAAGTTGAGATGTGGAGGTGTGCGTGCTCGCCCACGTCTCTGTGGAGGTGACATAGATGGTAGTTGCACCGGTCCGTGTACCAAACACTATTTCAAGTTCAGATTCAGTCCCTAACAAGGTCATAAGGAGTTGCTGTTGCGTGTCTTTTTACAGGCCACTCACCTGGCGTGGCCATGGTGGGTTCAGTTAAATGCAGAACTTCGTAATATCCTCGGTCAGGGCCGCGAAGCTAAAGGGTGTTCCGCTCGTTCGAGGCGATGGATATGCTGAGGGCTTCCTGCTGATCTGAGTCACCTCTGGTGGGTGGAGGATATGTAAAGCTAAAATATTTAAACAAAGCTTGTTTGAATTTGGACTCCTTCTGTGAAGGGATTAGGTAGCTCTGTTTTTCTGTCTGTAGGCATTGTGATCAGGAACCAGCTGGGAATTGCTAACGTAGTCTATCCCCTCACCTGGTGGCAAGGCATTGACTCTTGACTTAGCGTGGTTTTTATGCACCAACTCTCGTTAGTTACTTTCATCAGCATAGTAGTTCACCTCTGCGTACTTTTGTGTGCATTTTAGTGTGAATAGATCTGTTAAAGCCCTTAGACTAGCTCAAGGACTTTCTTCGCCAACTTACTGTTTGAGGGTAGCACACCATGGAAAGTGTCGGCTGAGCTTAACTTTAACAATTTAATTTAAATAACTATGAGAAGTACTTTTTTGTAGCAGCACACTAGTTGAATCTATCTAGTAGTTGTCATAATCTTATTTTATGACCGATTAAGTGAAATCCACATGTTGATGTGATTAGTATCCTAACTACTGATTTCCTGTTAGAGGAACCTAGCTGCACAGGAAATTTATCTTTGGTTTTCTTACTAGAGTCGATAAAATTAGAGCACCGCAGTGGTTCCCACTGAGCTTCCCAGCATCAGAAAGGTCAACTCTTTGTGGATCAGTGGGAGACATAATTTAAGTAATGGGTGACAGGTTTGGCGATTTGTCATTTGCGCTAGGAGGCCGATCAGGCCAGGTAGGCACTAATGGGAAGCCTGTCGACAGTGACCTATCTCGGTCGAAACCTAATCTAGAAGTTGAGATTTGCACAAAACACTGGCAGGTTAATGAGTAAGACCCCAGGGGCACAGATACAAATGGGACACTTACCAATAGTTGAGAACTGATTGTGGGGCAGAACAGCACAGATGTAAGATATAACCAATCAACGGTAGATAGGGTGGAGTAGGGCACCATAGCTAGGGGGTTCCATGCAGCCTATGGCCGCAATAGCCTGATGAAATATGATAATAACAATAATAATAATGGTGTCCTGTCACGTGATTCACACGCGTGGAAGTCTGCTGACAGAGCTCAGTGGAGTTGTATTTTGTAGCTTGAATGTGCTACAGTGCTTCTGCTTACTGTACCTATCGATATCAGTGGGGACGCGAAATGATTGTACTTTCTGTTAATTTTCGCTCAAGGAGAAGACAGACAAACATAATATAGAAGTCATATTGGACACAACAGGATGCCAAAACCGTGGGAGGCCCTGGTCCCAGAGAGTTCCCAGCAGGGGTTTCTGAATTCTAAAATTTGGCGGATAAATACTTTCACCGATATGCCGCTCCGCTGTTGACATTTTCTGATAAGTTGACAACTAACAGGCACAGTCTGAACAACAACATCACCATGGGTTTTCTATCCTTCTGATGGCAACAATGAGTGGAAGAAGCTCCCCAGACTACATGGCAATTTCTTTGTAAATGGGTGTGGCAACATACTGCGGTAACAATAATACTTTTGAAATCGAATGTTCACTTGCTCCTAGACTTCATCTCCATCCATGTTGTCTCTGCTTCTCTTTCCGGTTTCCTTGCTCAGTTGCGTGAGCACACGGATGGATCCAACCGGCAGGCTGCCACAAGGCCCAAATTATCTCTTGCTGTTCTGTCTCGCAAATCATGGTACTTGACTGTGTCCCCCGAATTTTCAATGTGTCTCCCGGCACAGCTGTTCCGCCGCTCCAGACCAATATAATCTATGTAGTCTTGAGATGAATCTGCCAAAGTCGATCCACCAGCCAACGCACGGGAAACTTCGATGGTGAGATGCTCTCTGGAAGATAAAGATACCAGTCATCCTCTTCCACCAGACTCAGAGTACGTGTCAATGCAGTGCATTCGTAGTAAAGAGGATAGAAACCACTATCTTCCCAGTCAATGATCCCGGTAACAACATATTGGTCGCTGGAGCCGGGATCCTGTTTCACCATAATATTGGCTGTTCTGACATCCCCGTGTGTGAAAACTGATCCGTGCTCCAAGGTGGAAGTGTCATGCTCCAGCAAATAGCGAAGGAGCCGAACATAAGTAGCGCTACCATAGTGACGAGCAGAGAATTGCAGGTCGTTGAACCCCTTGGTCGTTGTAATGCCTTTGAATAGGGCGCATTCGTCAACACGGAACTCTTTGGCCCCTTCTCCACAAACGCCACCAAGCGCATTACCATCGTCCTGTCGAAGAGTCCTCAGACGACAGAAAATCTCATCCAGCTGGCGTCGTATCGAGAGCTTCTCTTCATGTAATAGATTAGGCCATGCTTGGGTCAAAGTTGTGCCTGGGATGTACGACATGAATATGACGCGAAAAGGGCCAAATGCTACCAGTCCATGGGGTCTCGGCGCAGGAATATCGGGCGCCCACTTCATAAGGTATTGCATGCTTGTGTACTCTGTGTAGTCGTTGTTTCCTGTCACGACTTTGGCAACAATGTCCTCGTTGCATTTAACCACCACGCCTCTGACAGGGTTCTCCCAGAGTTTTGGCGAATGCCAGAGAAGTTGTTTCAAGGATAAAATAAGAGATTTCTCTGCGTTGATCGACTCGTTGTCTAGCCATCCTTTTGAACACCGTGCAAGCAAAGCGTTCACCTCTTCTGATAAAGGATAGACTACTGTAGCAGTTTGTGCAAGATCCAGACGCGTTCGGAACTCGGGAGGACCGTTTGTCTCATTCTCTTGTTCAATGCCTTGCACAAACTTTGGTCCAAGCGCCATTTTAATTCTTCGAGAATAGTTTTTGGGGAACGCAGATAGCAGATCGACTTCTGGTTCGTACCTCAGAGTGTCATAGAGCCGGTCTAATACCCGAAAATTGATATCTGCAGCGTAAGATAACTGACGGTATCGAGCTTTTCGATGTTCATGGAGATATGAGTCAGGGAATATTGACATCAGGTCCGCTGTTGGATTCTTCTCCAACGCGGCCTGGAATTCCAGCATCAGATCTCTGTTCCATTGTGCCGCGCTAGCATTGGAGAGCGAAATTCGGGATGCAGCATCGGCCATGCTGACTGGTTGAGCAAAATCTGGTACTGAATAATGATTCACTTCGGTAAAAGAACAGCGAAGGGTGGGTGAGACAGATATACTTAGTGTTTAGATTAAAGAGGGCAGGAGGATGGGTCTTAAAGCCGACCGGGTTGCAGCAGCCCCTTGCTTAGGGTGAAATACGTTGTGCATGGAGTCTTTCATATAACCTCGAGGCAGGAGATGGGAAACGACTCACTTCGTGGAATTTGGAAACACTGTATGCTGCACTTACATCCTCAAACTTGATTTGACGATTCATGTATAAGTTTTTCTATGCGATCTTATTCTGTACTTTACTAGTATTAGGGTAGTTTGTTTACCATGTTTCCCCACTTTGCTAGCAAGGAGGCTCTTTTCTATGAGAGATATATTAGGCTGTTTATAATTTATTAAATTAACCCCGCTCGTATTATCTAACAAAATGTGCTCTAATTATTGGCCTCGAAACCTGAAAAGGGTTGGTCTGACTTCTTAGGTTGTCTTCCCATATCATCAAGGGCTTTCTTTGAGATCGGTACAAACCCTCAACATCCACTGGCTTCTTCATCCGCTTGGGCCCTATCGGTGGACTCCCGAAATTAAACCATTTGATTCTGACCACTTGATAACAATAATGATATAAGGCTTGATGGGGCAGTGCGTGGATTATCTTACTCAGCTTGTCAGCACTCGCTGTCCGCAACTCCGAAGCAGCGTCAGCTTTGTAAGCCAATTTTTGGCCACCTTCTCAAGGGATACGGTTGTAGCGGGGTATTGATCACCATATAAACTCAATCCCCTTCATCAGAATTTGTTCAATCCATCACATTGATTACCGATCACACCTCGTCAAAATGGCCAGCCCCACGAACAATATAGCTTTCACTTCTCCGATAAATCCTCCTGGGGCCGATCCCATCCTCACCCGCAGTCAGATCTGGGCTGGCTTGCGCCTCAAGATCCGCTCTGCAGAGACATTCGTTCCAGCCGGCATTCAGTCAACGTCAGTCCTCAGTGAATCTGTTGATGAAGCTGGAAATCCCGTCACCATCCGCGAAGTGGTTTTTCGTCAAGATCAGCGGAAAGTCAAAGAAACTGTGACGGCCCACAAAGATTCCCGAGTTGATTTTGTTCAACCTGATGGGAGTACCATCAGTAACATTGTCAGTGAAGGTGCCGAGGGGGAGCTGTATATGACCTATGCTTTTGAGTGGAGGCACCCAGGTGCTTCGGAGGAGGAATTGGCTGCGTTGAGGGAAAGGGAAATGAAGATGAGCAAGATGGCTGTTGAGGGTACAATTAGTGTCATGAGGGAGCTCGCTCGAAAGGGGGAGATTTGATTTCACTTGTGTTTGTTCGGGCTTGCTTTGGATCTATCTTATTGTCGACGCTATAATACATAATCTATTACGGCCACCGAATGAAGATAATAATGCCCGCCACGGTACGCTATACCGGCCTGATATGATTACATACTATACTCGAGGACGGGTTGCAGGGTCCGCATCTTGGTAAACAGGGTAAGTGCAGTGAATAAAGGGAAGATCCGTAGATCTGGCTACGTCTATCTCTATACCGAAACCATTTTTCCTCCTGTCTAAACCATGCGAATTTTGAATGTTCGTAATGGATTGTTACTTGGCGATCTCAACACCATTGGTCGCACCTAAGGGCACAGAGTCAGCCTTAGTCATAAAACCAAGAAAGTAATTGAACTTACCAAGAGCCTTCTTGATGTCACCGTAGATGGCAAATTGCCCAGCAGTAAGACCACCGATCATGAACAGACGTGTAGGAAGACCAGCAAAGGAACCACGAAGACCAAGCTCACCCGCAATCTTGATGAGACGGGAAACGGTGCTCTCACCGGGCAGACCCTTGGTCTTGTTGATCTTGGAGAGCATAGTATCAGCGGGCTGAGAGACGATGGCAGCAGCGAAACCAGCAATGAGACCAGATCCCAAATTAACACCGGTCTGCGCGCTATTCGACAGCTTGGACTTGTCAAGGCGAGCAAAAACGGCCTCGGCAACCTTTTCGTAAACGACAAACTTGGTCACTGTGTAGGGCACCCTGTATCATATCAGTTGATTGTTGTGCCTCTAAGCTTATCACCGAACCAACGTACTGCTTCAAGAGGATAGGACCGAAACCACGGTAGAAAGCGCCAATGCCCTCGTTCTTGAGAATCTTGCCGAAACCACCAATCAGACCATTGGCGAAGCCAGGCTCAGAGACAAGACGGATACGTGTCGCCTCAAGAGGGCAGAGGGCGATAGAGGCGAAGAACTCGGCAGAGGCGGCCGAGACAGAGTAAACAGCAGTACGGTTCTGACGGGCTCTTTCAAGACCAAGAATGTTGATGGATTGCTGCTTAAAAAACTCATAACCTCCAAACTTGAAGGCTCCTTGCATGAAGTAACCAGCAAAGGTTGGGCCAATGCCGGTCAAGAGAGCACCGGCGCCCTCATTTCGGATAACTTGACGGAATCCACCAATCATACCACGGTTGTAGGTGGCCGGGTCGAGCTGGATCCTCGTCTTGACACTATATGAGCGTCAGATGTCGCGAACACTAGACAGTGTAGCTGAAGCTGTTGGACAACATACACATCAACTGGAGTGAAGGCACCATGGGTGACTGAACAGCAGACAGCGCCGGCAAAAGCAAACCGAGAGTAGAGGCCAAGGCCCTCAAGCTTCTTCTCGGGGGTGGCCGGGGCCAAAGCAGCGGGAGAGGCTGCCATTGTGGCGGTGATCAAGTGCGCGGATGCAAAGGACGGTAATGAAAAGAAACAGACGTTAGATGATCTGGAGGTGAGATGAGTAGAAATTTTATAAGCAAGGTGTTTGTTGTCTACTGGGGCTACTAGTGTGGTTACCTAGACTAGGGGGCGGGTGACCCGCACACGATGATTCGCGAGGTCTTTCACTCTTTAGTGTCATGTCTCTGTTTCACCAGTAAGTTGAGACAATACCAGACGCTGACCCCACATACTACGATATTCGGAGTAGTCTCCTCCACTTCCTACCACTGTATTTAAAGATGTCATGACTCTCAGACGCGCCAGGAAGTAAAAGGGTCTTAGCAAACGGGTGGTGCCTCTTCCCGTATCAACTAGGGCCCTATACAAGTCCATGATCTACCTCCTCTAGAAAGCTAAAGTTGAGCCTCAAGATTGTTGCACCAATTGGTCATCGAGATTTTATCGCTGAGGCTCAGTCGTGATTGCTTGTAGCTAAACGGGTTCTTATGTTGACCAAGCTTTCTATTGGACAGAGACATCGTCCGGAACGTCCGGGCACCTTTTTAGTCTAGCTGTATTATAATTGTCTATAATAGTCAAATTCAGTATATAAGGCAAGATATTGGAGTAAATAACTATTGAATTATATGACCGCTTACCCGATTTGGAAGACTACGAATTGGCTTAACACTGCCACCCTTGGCCGAATATTCGATAGCATTCGATCGTTTGAATAGCTTCAAATTCTACCGCTATCGAGAGGGATAAATAGTAGCTAGATAGTCATTCCGTTTAGAAGAACCAGACCTTCATTGATTTTCAATTGGCCATATAAATTACTAGTGATCCATGAACGTTACTAGCTTAGTGATTTCAACAATAACTTATAAACCCATCACTAATTGACTGTTGTCCAGAGTATGCAAACAGAATTATAATTACTACTGTAGACTTGTAATTACTCCTGTAGATAGTTGATCGACATCCGTGCATCTATACATCCATACATAACATATATACATCTCTACTGAGTTAGGTACTCTGCGCTTGTCACGAGGTCCTTGGTCTATTTTTTAGTTGATAATCCCTGTTAGCCTGAATTTTCCACGAATGGCAGGTCACTTTAAGAAATGCCATAATGCAGGCATGACATGATATCCGATATCCTATCCATACCGTACCTTATGCCTGTATCTTACTAGCGGCATGGAAATCACTAGTTGGTCTTTTATGGAGGCCTAACCTCCCAACTTCCAACACCTCTTGTTCTCCTATCCTACGAGAGTCTCCTGAAATCGCCTCACCTTCATTCTTGAAACTAGATACTCGTGTCTGACCACCAACATGCGTGAAATTGTGAGTTCGCTCACCGACTTCGGAATTGCCTGTCGTCGAGATCGCTGACTGATCTCGATTACGCTAAATAAAGGTCCATCTTCAAACCGGCCAATGCGTGAGTCAATTCCAGTTCTCATGGAGAAATTGAAGTAATGCTAAGTTGCGATACTCCTTCGCAGGGTAACCAAGTTGGTGCTGCCTTCTGGTAATTCACCCGCCATACGGAGTACACAGCATAGCTCCATAGTCCTTGTTACTCCCTAATTCTACCGTTCTTACCTCTGACATGATCCAGGCAAACCATCTCCGGCGAACACGGTCTTGATGACTCCGGCATGTCAGTCATCCGGTCTCTACCGCTTCCTATCTGTCTGACACTAACATAGGTACAATGGCACGTCCGATCTCCAGCTGGAGCGGATGAATGTCTATTTCAACGAGGTTGAAAACTCTAAATACGTCCCTCGAGCCGTCCTTGTCGACTTGGAACCGGGAACAATGGATGCCATTCGCTCCGGCCCCCACGGCTCCCTGTTTCGACCCGATAATTTTGTGTTTGGGGCGTCTAGTGCGGGCAACAACTGGGCAAAGGGTCATTACACAGAAGGTGCAGAGCTAGTGGATCATGTCATTGATGTTGTTCGCCGTGAAGCAGAGAGCTGTGACTATTTGCAAGGATTCCAGATCACCCATTCTCTGGGCGGCGGGACTGGTGCTGGCATGGGCACGCTTCTCATCTCCAAGATACGGGAGGAGTTTCCTGATCGGATGATGGCAACATTCTCGGTCCTGCCATCCCCAAAGGTCTCTGATACCGTGGTGGAGCCGTACAATGCGACCCTATCAATCCACCAGTTAGTCGAGCACGCAGATGAGACTTTTTGCCTCGACAATGAGGTATAAGTCCTGGTTATTCCACGTCGACGCGAGCTAACAAAGACAGGCGCTCTATGATATCTGTACACGTACGCTGAAGCTGTCTTCCCCTTCGTATGGTGATCTCAACCATCTTGTTTCGACGGTCATGTCCGGCATCACGGCCAGCTTTCGATTCCCTGGGCAGCTGAATTCCGACCTTCGGAAGCTGGCGGTTAATATGGTTCCCTTTCCCCGGCTGCATTTCTTCATGGTGGGCTTTGCTCCGTTAACCAGCCGAGGAGCCACTTCCTTTCGCGCAGTGTCTGTCCCAGAACTCACACAGCAGATGTTTGATGCCAGGAATATGATGACAGCTTGCAACTTTCAAAACGGCCGCTTTCTGACCTGCTCGACACTCTTGTAAGCTCTCCCCTACTCGAAGTCCGAAACAAAGCTAATCAAGACTCAGCCGCGGCAAGATCTCCATGAGAGAAGTCGATGATCAGATGCGCAATATCCATACCAAAAACTCCGGTTACTTTGTGGAATGGATCCCAAATAACGTTCAAACAGCTCTCTGCTCTGTGCCTCCAAAGGGTCTGAAAATGTCTGCCACTTTTGTGGGCAATTCCACGTCCGTCCAGGAGCTCTTCCAGCGCGTGGGAACCCAGTTCGCCGCCATGTTCCGCCGCAAAGCGTTCCTGCACTGGTATACGGGCGAGGGAATGGACGAGATGGAATTCACCGAGGCAGAAAGTAATATGAATGACTTGATGTCCGAATATCAACAATACCAGGAGGCCAGTATCTCCGATGGTGAGGAGCAGCAGTATGCCGAGGAGGAAGAGGCATTTGAACCCGAGGAATAAAGCCTCTCAATTTCATCATCTCGTTCAAGATTGACAGTAACCACATTCAGCTTCAAGCTTATCATTCTTTTCTCTGTCTCTCTTAGAAGTTTGTCTCGACTTTCTCCTAATGTTTATGATAGTTGCCGTTCTTAGTTGCTCAAAGGAAAACGGCAGAGTATTAAACACCAAATTCAAGCTAGAATATAGCTAAATACGTGTGTATAGATGATAGCTCTGTGTCTCTATACAAGGCTTCTATGAATAAAATCGAAGAGCTAATAGTACCACTGTAGTTCTATTTCTAGATGAGTACGGCCATAGATGCATGATGACCAAATGCGCTTAAATATTGAGTGTGACTAGTATAACTAGTGACTTGCTTGATGATTAAGGTCGAAGCTCTCTAGATGTATGGACCTATTGGTGCCACAGCTAACAGCGACGCTAATAACCCTGGACTGTGAAAGAGCTATTAGACAATCACTGCATAGACTAGAAGCCTAAAGCACCCGCGAATGTAGGAATGGTAAACAAATTGGAAAGATCTTGAGAGCAGCATAATCAATTGTAAGGCAGAGCATATGGTTGGAGGCCATAATACACAATCTATTGCAGTAACTGAAATAGGATAAACCCCCCAACAGGTATTGCTGTTTATGCCAGCCTATGTGAGTGTTTACTAAAGTGAGGATGATATGTATTCCGAATGTCGGTACTCAGCTGCCAAGAGGTCATGAAGGGTCAGGTTGCTGAGCACAACGCGCACTTGAGCTCAATTTCGATTTTTGCCATGCTGGAGCGAGTGGGAGGTGCGCCGTCTAGCAAAATCGCGGTCTGGACAACGTGATCGCTGGATGACCACCTGCCATCTACGCTATATCGACTGCCTCTGTTGGGGGAAGTTTGAGCGCGGCCTAGGAACCTGTGGCCTGAGAGCCCCAGTTGTAATATCATAGTGGACAAGTTGCCCGTTATTGCCCTGCTCACATAACTCTTCTGCAGTATTTGAGCCAGCTTGAAGAGCTCGCAACTATGACGGAGGACAAGGGGTGACGATTACAAGCTTGATTTTGTTCATTCCGACATAATAGTGGATCATATTATTTTGTGGCTGCTAGATACTGCGTCGTTCGGCAGATTAGGGCCTCTGCCGTCAAGATGCTCGCGTCTCCTCAGAAGCAATAGAGTATTATTGTTATAGTAGCGCGGTCTCCTGAAGCACACCCGAATCTGTCGTTTATCTGTAATACCACGACAGTCGGCCAGGTATATACAAAGCAGATGACCATGATCATGGGCTATTTTACCACTTCGTAGGTCTGAGACATAACAACCTCCTTATGGATGACGGGACGATCCGGCGGATGGTAGCTCTCCTCAAGACCTGCGGTCGATTCCTGGTGCAGCTCACTGCTCTCGACGGTCGAGATGAGCTGCGCCTGGTCAGTCTGTGTCTGGAGCAAGGAGTCGTGTTTGGCGCTCCTCTTGGAGCTGGAGAGTTTGTTCCAGCTACTGAGCTCGTGACTGCGCTGGTAACTGCCGTGGGTGGCCTTTCTGCTCTTGTTCCTCATAGAGACGACATACGAGCTCAAAACGGGCAGACATGCACAGATAAGTCCAATGCCCGCTTCTGCATTGCTAAGACATCATTAGTCGCGTTAATGGGGAAGAAGGGCATTCCACATACGCTGTCAACACGCAATGAATCCAAAACCATGTTGTGTCCGCTGTCCGAGCCTCCTTGACCATAATGACCAAGCGCCAGATACTAAATGCAGTGGCGAGTCCTCCGGCCCCCAGAATGCCGATGACCCGCAGTTTCTTGGTTGTCGACATCTGTAGCGACCACAGCATCGGCACTGGAAGAATGAGGATCCACAGGTCGCTGGCAATGCTGATGGCCGAGTCGGCTATGATGACCTTCTGTTGGTCGATACAGGTACCCCCGTTGCTGGTGCCGTGCCAATATGCGGAAATCGGCTTGCAGAAGAAGATCTTGATAAATAAAGCCGGGATGTAGTAGAGCAGAAGCACGATGATGCTCGCGTAGATGATCATGACCTTGTGCCGGTCCGGGGCGAAGATCCGGAGCATCACGGAGAGCAGGGCCAGCTTGACGACAAACACCATCGGAACGTAGATGAGCGTGATCGCGTACGAGGCCTTGAGTCGGGTTGTCATTAGTAATTGCTGGGGTTTCTGTCTGCTGGGTGGTCGAGGGTGGTCTACCTTCTGGAAATTGAGGAATTTGCTCTTAGGAACATCCCAGGCATGATATCCACCACCATAGGCATTAACTGTCTCCGTCAATATCGTTCACCAGCTTACATGGCTATACGTACGCACAAGCATGTTGGCGCAAAACCCAACGAACAGTACCTGTTAGCGGCATGGATATAAATTCAGCAAATTCAAGATAGAAATGGTCGAGCGTCATACCCATCCTGTAATTGTCATATCTGTGGAGAGAATGGCCGGTCACTATTTAGCATCGATCAGGCATCATAGTGGTCGACTTACAGTCCTCTAGTTCCAATTTCTTCCGAAGCTGCACGCTGATAAAGATACGCAACAGCACTGTGGTAGTCACAACGATCATACACAACACTTGAGTTGCTAGATTCACCGTATGAAGGGCGTCCTGAGGATGTGCCAAATTCGACACGGCCCCTGGTGGTGGCGGGATCACCGGTTCTTCGGACATCTGGGGCCAGCAAGCGAGGCTGTAGATAGCGAGTAGTGGTCTCTCCAACAGCCGGAGTAGTACGACAAAGGTTCAGGGAAGAATCTGTCCGTGAAGCTCGGGCATCGCAGCCATTGAGAAAGAGGAGGAACTCATGAGAATAGGCAATGGATAGGCGACCGAACGTATAAGAAAGAAAAAATTGACAAGAGAATCAAAATGTACAGGGATGTCCATCGCGTTCCATGCCTGAACAGGGAACACAAGGTGCGGGAAGCAACAGAAATGGAGCCACGAGTCTGGGATTATGTCCCTTCAGCCAGATCAAGAGTGTGTATACGTTTTTCGATAGTGGCGCCATCGCGCTAGCTCCACCACCACTCTAGTCCCCTGTCCTCGATTAACTAGTAGTAGACTGATCGTCGAGTTCATCAAATATCCCTCGCAGCCAGGAGCACTAGATAAATGACGGCACGGGCGGACATCTCCCTCCGGCAGTCCAGGATCTAGATCCCTGAAGCGCAAAAGTCCTTAGAAGGTATCGATCTTCGCGGAAGGAGTCCGATGGCCGCTAACAAACAGATGGCCGTCCTTGGCATCTCCCTTGTGCCAGATGCAATTGGCTAGATTTCAGCGCAACCGAGGTCCTCATGGCCTGTCGGGATGATTAACTTGCTGCCTTCCGGTGGGTCTGCCAAAAAACTGTCCAGATAGCGTCATTAGAGGAAGCCCAACGAAAGCTGTTAGTGCATACGGACTTGTTAGATTTGCAAATTGCTGTTTTGCTGCTAGCAAGTATTAATGAGCAACTTCCTGTGCGTCGTCGTTCTCGCGGCATTTGAGCTGGGGGAGACATGCTCCATAACAAGTCAAGCTGCCTGCCAGCTGTATATTCTGGAAGCAAGTGAGTCCTTGAACTTCAAGATCAGATTACAGGCCGCGGGCATGAATATTAGGTAACAAGATATAAAGATAGAGACCTCTTAATGGGCACGACTCCCAAACCCCAGTGATAGAGATGATGACTACTCCGTAGAAGTAGCTATTTGATATTCTATAATACCAGGGGTTCCCTGAGGCTGTGCACCAGGCCACTAAAACGGGTCATATACTCAACTAATACATCATAACAAATGCCTTCTGAATAAAGGACTGTATTTAAGTAGAGGAGACAGCCAGAGAGCACGAGCAACCTTCAATCGAGATCTTTAAGCAGTCTTCTACGCCCCGGGAGGTCGCAAGTATTTTCTGGCCCGGTCAAGACGAATTCGAGTTATCGCGACAACCGAATGCCGACCCTACCAGATGCTGTCAGCAGTAATCCAATGACTGGCAAATCTCGGACACATACCTATTGCTCCGGAGTTATATGCGTCGACGATCTGGATGACAACGCCGTACGTCGCCCCAACTAGGAAGAAGAGCCCCAGAGCCACCAGGCCGCAATGCAGCAGGTACGCGACCCTCTGGATCAACGTCCCCTTCCTGTAGTGGCCGTGGTCGTACAACCATAACCAACCGGGCAGGCTCATGGCCAGGGGGGCAAAACACACCGATCCCACGAGCGCAATCAGGTAATTGAAGATCGGAATCGCCTCCGCCAGAATAAACGCTAGCGCGCCGAGGACGATCGTACTGGCGAACCAGGTGCCCCAATGAACGATGGTGTTGGCCTGCAAATGGCGCGAATTCCCGAGGATCCGGACGAAGACGTACTTTGCACCGATCTACACGAGCGCCAGTTAAGCTACGACCGACCATGCGCGGGCAGTGTCTGGGGGACTCTTACATGCAGATAGAGGGTGCCGCTCACAACCAGTCCGATCAAGGCAACACCATATGACACCATCTTGATCGTTTGTCCAGCACTCTATATGTGGCTGTTATTCGACTGCTCATGGACATGGACAAAAGGTTGGAGAGGCAATTGATACGCACCCCCAGCGATGGGCTCGCCACCCACTTCCCACACCAGGCATAGACGACCAAACTAAAGGCGAGGTACGATGCGGTCACCAGCGTCATACAGACATACAGCGGCTTCTTGTAGTCTTTCGGGTTCCGCATCTCGGAGATGACCGGCAGGAAGGCACTGGTACCGGCTGAGGAAACAAAAATGGTACAGGAGGCGACCATGCCGGCGGCAAAGCCTGGGTTGTTAATGGCGACGAAGCCCAGCTCGAACGGACCTTCCTGTGGTGCAGCGGCTGGCCGGTCTCGCGTGGTCACCCCGATCACCACAATGAGCACGGCGGCGTAAATGGACAGGAAGCCTACGTAAGACAACCAACCGACGTGCTCAAGTTTGCGGATGGAGGCCGTTGCGATGATCACCACGGCGGCCAGGAATGACCACCAGACGGTGCAGGCTCCGTGGTGGGAGAGGGCATTCAGCGCCGTTGACACGCCCACGATGCCGCTGCCCGTTACCAGCACATAGGCAATGATGAACAAGAGGCCGGTCGCCTCCCTGCCCACAACGCCCCCGGAAACATGGGCCATGTCGGCAATCGAATGGCAGTGAGGGTGTCTCATGCGAAAGTTACCGAGGATGACAAAACAGTACGTGTTGAAGCATCCCCAGGCCACAATGCTGATCGAGCCCCCCACGGCCCCCAGCGAATACAGCGCCGACGGCAGCGAGAGCACCCCTGTCGCGAAAAGGATCTTGGTGAAGATCACGGCCGCGTTGAACCAACCCACCTGGCGGAAATTGACCCCAGAAGCAGTCTTCTTGAAAACCTCCCCTTCCTCGTCGAATTCCACCGCGCGAGGGCTTGCTTGTTCAGAGTCGTACGCCCCATGGGCCTCTGCCTGCTGTTTGTTTAGCATGGCGACACCAGAAGTGTACTTTAGCGTTGTCTCGTTCTATTTCCTTCGTTTTTGCTTTTTCCCAAGCTAGAGAAGGGACCCTTATATAAACAGGGTCGATACTTTACCCGAACCCCCAAGCACGGGAAATTTTGTGATAACTTGCCCTCCCTCGGGAGCACAGCTCGTCCTCCGACCCACTTAGCGGCATGTTCTAGATGCCAATTCATTATCGGAATGGTCAATCATTGCTCGCTATCGGTGGCACTTGGAAATACAGGCGGATTAACTCCCAAAGCCACCGAGAACCGTTTAGCTAAGAGACTAATGCATGAGGATTAACTAGGCAATGCCCTTGTCGCAGGATTATGAATTTGAACCAGGATATTCATCGCTAAATCGGCGGGAGGGGCATTGGCCAGTAAAACACAGCCGGGCATAGCACTATCTGGAAGGTTGCATCAACTAAACCGTTAGCATGTGCATTAGGGCGCCGAGCGGGACGATCCCTGCAATGCGCCTGTGCAATGTTTCCCCTCCGGCTTGCGGGCTACCTTGGTCATTATTTTTACTGAATTTGGAGGGGATCGTTCTGCTTTTTTTTCTGTTGGAAGAGGTGCATTCCCAGTCTGCGAATGCTGTTGCATGTTCAATCCGGTCACCCAGATTTGGTCATTGGGATAGTGTCTCGCTCTTGGAGTTGAGATATATATTCAGTCCGTATTTGGCTGAGATAAACTGCTCTGGAACCGGTCACAGTTGCTTCTCTCTCCTTAAGTTCCTTTCCGCCTATCATGCCACATAGCGCCAACCAAGACGGATACCGTCTCGGAGTGGACGTCGGCGGCACCTTCACAGACGTCTACGCCTTCACGCCCGAGGGCCAGATCGCAAGAGCCAAGGTTCCGACCACTGTTGAAGATCAAAGCATTGGCGTCAAGACCGGAATCCAGAAAGTGCACCAAATTCTCAAACAACGCTACTCCTGGGACGGGAAGTTCCAATTCATCCACCATGGTACTACCACCGCCACCAACGCGGTTCTCGAAGGCAAAGGAGCACGGACCGGCCTGATCGTGACTTCAGGGCACAAAGACATTCTGGCGGTTCGCCGGTCCCAGATCCCTGGTGGTCTGGGTGCCTGGCTGCACTATACTCCCCCGGAGCCGATCGTGCCCCTGGAGCGTGTGATCCAGTGTCAGGAGCGCATGTCGGTAGATGGCAAGACGGTTGTCGCCGTGAATACGGATGCGCTTCGTGATGACCTAAAGGCCTGGGTGAAGGAACGGCCCGAGGCTGTGGCGATATCATTGCTGAACTCGCACTGCAACAGCCAGCACGAAATTTTGGTGGCGAATGTCGTACGGGAAGAGCTCGGATCGGATGTGACTGTGATCTGCTCGAGCGACGTTCTCAGAGAAGTAGGCGAGTACGAGCGAACAGTGACCACCTGCACCAATGCACTTGTCAAACCCGTAGTTCAGAGCTATCTCAGTAACCTGCAGGGCTTACTGGCAGAGGATGGAGATACAATCCGCATCCTCAAGTCGGACGGCGGTCTGACGAGCTTGGAGCTGGCGGGCCAGCTGCCCGTCAATATTCTGATGTCTGGTCCCGCTGGAGGAGTACAAGGGGTCGCCGACGTCGTCACGCGAAACACTCCGTATAAGAACCTGATCACCTTCGACATGGGCGGCACGTCGACGGATTGCGCACTGATCAACCAAGGGAAGCCTCAGCTTCGTCGCGAGACCGTGGTCGGCCAGCTCACCGTTCGCTCGCCCGCCGTGGACATCCGGACAGTGGGAGCAGGAGGCGGCTCAATTGCGAAATACATGAGCATCACTGAAACCATGAGAGTTGGTCCGGAGAGCGCAGGGGCCAGCCCGGGACCCGCATGCTACCGCAAGGGAGGGACTGAAGCCACCGTCACGGATGCCAACCTTGTGCTAGGATACCTGCCCGAGAACCTCTTGGGAGGCGAATTTACTCTGGACGTGGAGGCTGCAACGGCCGCGGTCGGGAGCATCGCTAAACAGATGAAGCTGTCGGTTACCCAGACCGCTGAGGACATTATCAACCTCGTGAACGAGACCATGTACGGAGCCCTGCGCCTCGTATCGGTCGAACAAGGCTATGACCCGAAGGATTTCGCTCTTGTCGCTTTTGGAGGTGCAGGACCCCTTCATGCCAATGCCGTGGGCAAGCTC